CCTCACGATTGGCTAAAATCTGATAATCTTCAACATAACTGTGCCAGGGTGGAAATGCTCGCGCATCCAGGTCAAAAATAAAGGAAAGAATGGCATTTTCTTTGGAAATCGTAAGTTTCAAAGTATTGGGCATGCTATCGCGTCGTGATGGTCGGCCGGCGATTCTAGCCTTCAAGGTATTATATGGGACATGAAAAGTCTTAGACAGCTTGCTAATAGTAATATGAGGGTCGTGTCGCTTAGCTTGGACAGCAAGCTATAAGTCTGATTCGCTATAACGCAATGCCATTATTGTTGGTTGATCAATTAAGAACCTTGATTGAAAGGTTAGGTGGCTGGTGAAAAGTTGCCGTTCGCTTGTAATTGCCGCTTGCTTGTCATCCACGTTAATAAGGCTTAAAAAGGTTTTAGATATATTGTTACTAAGGCTTGGAAATATATTAAATATAGGTAATTTTCGAATTTTAAGCTTAAAGAAGGCGGATTTTAAATATATAAATAATTAGTTGTTAAAAACGAATTATTAGTTATAATAACTGCAAGGTTATAAGATAAAAGGTTTAAATAGCTTTGTTTTAAAACGAGGTATTTACGATATAAAAGGCTTTTAGCTATATTAATCAATAGTATTTACTAGCTTTTTACTACGAATTAAAAGTATATAAAACGGCGAAAGCTTCGAATGAATAGGTTAATAAGACTATTTAATTAGCGTAAAGTAATAATACTACTAATAGCTTTAAAAGTTGCTTTTATTATAATAAACCTTGTTATACTTTTAATACGTATATATTGTATATATTGGCATGACAGGCGTTTTAAAAGCGGCCGGCTTTACAATAAACCGGCTGTATAATAACAAAAATATATTAGAATTAAGTATAATACTTTACATAGTTGTTTTTTAATATATATACGTTACTTTATTAAAGCAGGTTTTTAATAAAGCTTTTTTATTGTTTAATACGTTTTAAAGCTTAAATATCGGTGGATAAATAGCGCTAGTAGTTTAATAAGAAACTATTATAAGGTTTTTTAACTTAGTGTTTATTTATTTATTTAATATTATGATATAGTATTCTAAGATAAGGTAACGTTAACGTGCTTTAACGGCTCGAATTAAAAGAACGTAACGAGATATTATGTATAAAAGCGTTAATTAACGAATTAGCTCGACTAGTTTTAAAAAATAACTACGAGACCTAATAATATCTTTAATTTTTACGAGGTACGAAGATTTAAGTGATATTAAGTATAAAACGCTAGTTTTTAAAAGTGTTTAAAAGAAAAATATGATAAAAGAAAGTAGCGCGTAACGTTTGATAAAATAATAAATTTCGCCGTATAATAATAAAAGTGGTATCGTTATACTTTTAAAAGTATAGCGAATTTAAATATATTTAATACGAACTAAAACAAAGTAAAATATATTTATAAAGGTAATAATAAGTACGTTATTAAAGCTTTCAAAAAGTAATAAGGCTGTTAAAATAAGACGTTATTAAGCCTTTAAAAAGGTAGCCAAGTTGTTAATAATCTTAATCTCGTTTAAAACGTTTAAAAATAACGATTCGTGTTGGAACAGGCTTGAACGATCAATCATAATACTCGAGTATGGGGTCAAGATCATGATGTTGCTGATGGTTGGATTGAGAAGTCTAGCTGGACCTGCAAGTCTGGCTAAGTGACCTCACAATCCGGTATCTAATCTCTTATCTAATCATATATGTGGGCTCTGTATGGATGGTTTGACTATGGAACCACATGAATCCAACAATTCGCGTGAATTACGCGCTGGTACGATATTATTAAAAGCTTTTGAAAAAAGCAACGAGCTATTAATACTACGTAGTAACGACCTTAAAAGTCGTATTACGGCTAGTAATATGACGAGGCGAGGCGACTTTAAAGGTCGCGTTACAACGTTATATCCTTCAAATCGATCGATCGGCTTAAAGACTTATGATTAAAAGTATATAATAATATATATAAAGCTTAACTAGTAAAGAAATTACTTCGAACCTACTATCTTCGTACGATCGTTAAAAGTAAAGATATTTATATAAAGCGAGTAGTTAAAAGGTTAAATATATTATTATACGTAGGTTAATTATTTAACTAGCTAGGTAAAGGGCTGTACTTATTATATAGTTATAGCTTTTTTTATCTTATTTATTTAGCCACACTTTGATTAGCTAGGGCACCTACTTATAGTGGGTCCCCCTAGTAACCTGTGTTAACTCCATGGCTTAAAAACAGGTCGCTAGCTTTTAAAAGGTCCTCGAAGGTCCACTTCCTTCTTTTTAAGAGACACCACACTTAATGTTAAGCGTAACGAGGTGTCCGTCAACCAGCTTGACCCGCAGATGGTGGTATCTCGACAGCGTAAAGAAAACCGGTAACTCATTCTCTTCTTCACTAGCGTGACGAACAAGCCGATTGACAGTTAATCTTCCCAGGGGCATGAATGGGGGTGCGGCCAGGCAGGACAGCGCAGGGGTGAGCCCCTGATGTTGTGGCTCAGGGTAGCTTGCGGACGCAGTGATTTTTCGTCAGGGGCAACGCTCTCTTGGGAGGAAGAGTGATTGTCTTTCGTGGAGGAGTGGTATCATCATCAGCTTGAGATCATCAGCCTAGTGGTCCTGCCCTTTCTAGAGAATAGTGTTGCTCACCTTGGCGGCGACGTCACGTCAGTCATGTGGAAGAAAGCATCACGGCTGACGAAACCGGTGAGGAATAATGTCCGGGCCCATCGTACTCTCTGTCCTTTCATAAGTCGTCGACCAGCGACCACGATAATGACGTGTCCACAGCGAGGTATTGTAGAGAACCGGAAGGTTGCGTTGGCAACTGACTGCCGTCTCGTGGCTGAACTTCACAACCATCACCCGGCCTGGGCCGGCCGATTCTGGTTTGGCATGGGTCCTGGCAGCGAGATTTTGACCGACCCGCCAGAGCGGGAAGCTGAACCCCGGTGTGACCAAATCTCACGATAGCTTCAAGCAAGGGCCTTCCGTTTGCGCTTGCCCTCTGGAACCCGTGTTTGGCTGCCTTCTCAAGGCAAATTGGATGTGTCGCAACTTTTGCCGACTGACGTGCGTGGGCACCGTGTCACACTGTCCGGCGTGGTGATAGTTGGCGGGCAAATAAAAGCGTTATGCTCATAGCGCACGGCATGAGCGTGGGGGTAGCAGAGGTCAGCCGAGTAGAAAAGAAGGGCCGAGATGAGGTGTTGTTCTTTTGTCTTTCTACCGGTAAGCAATGACGAAGCTTCCCTGGCCGATACTGGCCGCGTAGACAGTGCTCTCAGTCTGTCGGTGTGAGTCGGCGACTCGGTGCGGTATTGGCCCCTGATGGGATAAGTTAGGGTTTGAAGTAACGTTGGACCTCCATGTATGATGTTGATATTGGACCAATGACGGGTTCAGCTCATACGGGATTATACAGATTGGAGGAATGACAAGGGTGACAAGGCATCCCTCTCCCGGATATCTAGCAGTTCGGAGGCTTACAGAGGATCGGTTACAGATATGTAGTGGCAAGTGTGGCTTCGGCTGCGGACGACGTCAGGCCACGTTCATTGACAAGTGGAATGATTCCAAGGTACGAGCAAGCCACCCCCTTTTAGGGCCGAGGGTCCTCCTTAATCGGACGAACGTGTGTTTGTGACATGTTACGGAAACGTTACGCATATCGAGGCGTTTGGGAATCGCTGTCGGAAGGTACCTAATATCACCATGTATTATACGATGTCGAGTCTAGCCGAATCCTACCCTGGGAGCAGAGTGTCCAAACCCATTGCGATGGTGCGAGTTGAAGTCAAGATTGATGAGTCAATAGGTCGCTCCAATATTCCCTAGTCGCACGTCGTATGGAAGCACAAACGTCTCCCGGGTCCCCCAGGGGCAGGTGATATATCTGACAATCGACAGACTTGATGAGGTCTGGCAAGGCGGCCGGCGAAACCACCCGAAACGGTCAATCAAGGCGTGATCCAACGCATGAGGCTTGCGCCGAAGACGGCATGCCAACGAATATATTGGAGGTAACCTTCATCTGGACAAGTTCGGATCATGAGACGCCAACCCTGGAACAGACGTGCAACCACTCTTGACGAGTAGAAGCCGTTGAACTAAAACGCCATTACGCTGTGGCAGAAGCCAGGCACCGAACATTCTTCGTCACCGCTTCCAACGACGGAGTGACCGCTGCTACCATTCAACGACGCATACAGACGCAGAAAGACGTGGTGCGCTTTTAATGGCTGAAAACAACCCGCGCGACGGGGCCCATATGCAGCCAGCCGTGCAGTGTCCGGACTCGAGCCCTCGACCATTGGGTGTCGGCAGGATCTGTAGGGCTAAACTCTGGGCCAAGTAGATGTCAGAAGGTTGCTCAAGATTTCAGGCTAGATTAGGCAAGTGAACAGTGAGAATACAACGAAGCCGGGCAAACACTGTATAGGGAATTTATGCAATTGAAAGCACGGTCCGATCGCTTCATGGTTGGTGTGGTTCCGAGGTATCTGGTGCCGGAGCAGAAACGAACCGCGCGTTCTCAACAAGGGTGAGTGATACAAGAATCGGGAGTTGTCGGTGCTATATTGTAGGAGAGTCGGATACTGACTGGTGTCTTGGGCTCAGACGCTCAGAGTTGCCTCGTTTCTTGTACATCAAGGCAACTGGCCAGAGCCTCACCGGTGGCGATCACCCGACCATATGGCCCATGCCATCGGTCGGTGGCTTTATCTGGTGCGAGACGAAGACAGCTCGAGGCGGTGAGCTTAATAGCTCGGGATATGAACCAGGTTGAACAAGCTACGTAGGGCACTCCTTGCTGCTGATGATCATGTTGCTACGTTTGCGTATATAGAGCGATTGACCGACCCAAGATGAGACACTGCAACCAAGATAGTCCATCACCAATGAGCCAGTTGAAGGGCACTACATACTTCGACTTTGAACAAGAGATAATTACGTCTCAATTTCCGAGATTCCATCATGGCGCAGAGCTTCCACAGAATGTATGACTATTCAGCAACGGACTTCACATCTACTGCTGATATTGTTCACCAAAACATCAATATCATGCCGTGCCCAACATGCAAGGGCAGTTATGGATTCTCAAGGTATGTATTGCCAATCAAACAGCTTTTGTATTTGCCTAATGTTTCCTCGCCAGGAGTCACAAAGTATGTCCGACCTGCAACGGGAAAAAATACGTCGAAAAAACAGCAACTCCTCCAGGAAACAATCAACGGCAGCCCACCTACGGCAGTGGGACTTTCTACGGTAGTCATCTTGGTGGCCACACCGAGCAAGGTGGTCAAGCCCAATATGGCGGTCAAGGCCATCATGGTGGTCAAGGCCAATATGGTACTCAAGGCCAATATGGTGGCGATGCTGACTACGTCGACCAAATGGACGACTATGACCCACAAAACTACGGCGACTCAGCAGAATACAACGTCCAAATACCTTACGCAGACGAAGCATCACAGGCTGGGTCTAGCTCGAGGCATGAAACCGCACCAGCAAGAGAGAGGAAGGAGAGGAAGTCCAGCTCCAAGAGAGATAAGAAGACCAAGAAGGCCAGGTAGCACTTCACCCGAGGCGCAGGGCACCAAAGGTATCTTGAACCATTTCAAGTGGTCTGATCGTCAGGCGCCTTCGCGTTGGCGGAATTCCTCAGTCGTGGGGCTATGAGATGGGATGCGGGCAGCTGCGAGTTTTCTTTCCATTTCCCAGGATGGATGACGCACTGTTGTGGTTGGAATTGCACGGCACCAGGCACAAGAATGTTGTTCACGTGAGGCTGGACGATGTCAAGACGGGATAGACCTTCACTTCGCTTCGATCATGTCTTATCACGTCTTTCACATGATGATACTTGCTTGCTACGTTTGGAGTTGGGGCGAGGAACTGACAGAATGCAAAGCTGGACTTTCGCTATCACTGCACATCTCATAATCTCATAGCTATGGTACCCGCCATGATAAGAGACAGTAACTTATGTGTTTGTGCGTAATTGACCCGTCTATATTTCTGGTGTGCAGTAACTTCGTGAGACAGGAGGCCTGAACATGCAGACAAGAAACCAGGACACCCCGGCTGATCAGCGACCGTGATGGCGCCGATCCGAATCATAATCGTCAACCTCTCAGCGCCTTGTCCACAATGTTCTTCACCAGACTTTCGATGTCTTCAGCACCGCGGTCGCCCAATTCTCGGTCCAGCTTCACGTCTACACGTGGCGGCGACGTCGGGGACGACGCGAGGTCTAGGAATAGATAGGGGGCTCGAGGTACGCTGGTATCTGCCACTCCGCTATCGTCAAAGTTAAGTATCTGTTCTGTGACCTGTGTAGTGTGAAGGCGTCTTTTAATTTATGATATTCCGCTGTAATGCCCAGACCAGGTGAAACAAGTGTCTAACCGTGTGAAAGCACAGTGACAAGATCTGGATGTTACTTGCCGTGACGTGGCTCGTGAGATGCGGGCATCGTTCGAGATGCCACCCCTGGTTCCGCGACTTTGACGGTTTTATGAAGTCAATGACGGCCGTAAGGAGAAGAAGGACACCATTCTGATGGTCTGGAAGAAGAGATGCCTGCGTGTCGGTATGCTAATCGGCCTGTCAAAGCTGGAGAAGGAAGATGCTCACTAGGAGTGTCGCCTCACGAGTCACCTTGTTCAAGCCTTGTTTCGAGAAGTGGCACAAGGCAGCCGAGCCGCAGAGTATCATCGTCACTGGACCGATGTGATGCGCTTCCAAGGTAAAGAGAACAGGTGCCAGTGTCCAACTGCGATGCAGGAGAGCAGAACTCTACAGATGGACGTTTTATTGCCGGCGCGCAGGTCGTCGCTCCCGACCAAAGCATGGTAGACATCCTATGCTAGGTCTCTTACAGTTTATAACCATTGTGATGGGGCTATTGGATAGACAGAGGTCCCTATATGAGACCTATTTACAGCCTAATAGGCAAGTTTCTTAGTAGTGGCCAGGGGTGACCTGATGAGAGATGAGTCAATAACGAGACTTAGGCGGTTGCAGTTTCATCCCACTTCCTTCACGTCATAAGTGTGCAACTCAATCTCAGGTTGCGAAAAGACAGGTATTGTTGGAACAGGCTTGAACGATCAATCATAATACTCGAGTATGGGGTCAAGGTCATGATGTTGCTGATGGTTGGATTGAGAGGAATCTAGCTGGACTCGAAGGTCTGGCCAAGTGCCCTCTCAATCCACTATCTTATCTTATCTAATCATACATGTGGGTCCTGGTATAGATGGTTTGCAGTCTGGAATCGCATGGATCCAACAGGTATGCTATAACATCAAATAAGCGTGGAAGGGGTTGATGACCGCGAAGGAAGGGTCTTTTGAGAGAGTCTTAATCACATGACTGGGCTTCATGAAAAGGGCTTATGTATGACGCTCATCCCAATATCATTGCTACAATATCCGGCATTCGACAGCTGGTTCCATATCGAGGGGCTATCTCGTCGGCCCAGACCTCAGATTATATGTGTGTCAAGCTCAAGAGATGGTCACTCTGACACCGCGAGCGCCTGCCCTGGGCTGTGGCGTCAGCCTGTCAAATTCGTACTTGATATCCTCAAACACTGTATCGTAGAGCGTCATGTGAGGAATGAGGCGGAGCACAAGAACAGCGGTAACCAAGTAAAGTTCACAGAACGCCAGACTAGCCGCGAGTCGAGTTAGCTGTTGGCCGCCTTGAATAAGCACTAGTAGAAGGACTCACTTCATCCCGACACACTGACGGGTGCCCTTGCCGAAGGACATGATGTACTTCTCCATCGAGTGATCCGCACGCCCCTGGCCGTCGAGCCAACGTTCGGGTCTGAACTTCTCCGGGTCCGGAAACACCCCCTCGTCGTGATGCGAGACAAAGGAGCTCATCCCGACCGGAGTGCCTCGTGTCAAACAGAGCATGCGGGCTTTTAGATGGGTGAAAACATATATTCTGGTGTAATCAGCCTTGTTGCTGTGTCTGTGTGAAAATCCTGCTGTGGGCTAAGTGGCCTAAAAATGCCCTATTGGCCTTGTTGGTGCACTGCCACCTCCCTGAACGCCACGGTGGCTTGCGCGCCATTCAACACCTCGCGGTACCACGTAGTTGAATCCGCGATTCGTGTAAACGAGATCCTCGTTGCGTGCGATGCGGGGTAGCCGTGACGATATTCCTAAGGAGATGCGGAGGGCCTCGTGGATGACGGCGAACAGGTAAGGGTATCGCTCCAGCTGGACCCAGCTTAGCTTCATCGGGTTCTCGTTCTTGAGTTCCTCCGTCAAGCGGGCCGCAACGTCGGGTTCTGATAGCAGGAAGTACGTAATGAAAGTCAGAGCTGCCTGTACATGACCTGTCAATAAGTGTTCAGGGGGGACTAGCAGTCGTACCGCCCAGGAGCTTCTTAGAGTCTCATGGTAATTGATCTGTACTTACAGCGGTGGTCTCGGAACCAGCGGCGACCAAGGACCAACCTTCGCCCGAGAGACGGTACATAGACTTCTCAGACGCAGGCAAGGACGACTCTAGCAGCTCGGTGAAAATGTTCCCGCTGGACTTCCGCTCCTGGGCCTTGACGATGTGACTCGGAATCGTCTCGTACATCGACTTGACCAGGTAGGCAATATCTGGACCCATAGCCCCGCCGATCAAGGGCATCAGACGGACGGTGTGTCGCAGGATAGGAAAGAAGCGGACAGTGTGGGTAGTGGTGACCAGAGCCTCGAAGGCACGCTTGAAGTTCTGTCCAAAGTCGTCACGGTCCAAGAAACCTGGACGTGTTACTCATTGGGACGGTGGAAACAGTCACGGGCGCGGGATGCTGGAACGCTGCTTACCAAAGGACTCCCCATAGGAATACTCGGAGATGGTGTCGGCCGTGAAGCAGTTGTAGGGGTCGATCATGTTGATCGGCTCGCCAGTGCTTCGGAGGATCTTGCTGCACATCTTCTGCGCCATGTCGTGAACCAGTGGCTCGATGCGAAGTATCTGCTTGCGGGAGAAGAACCGGTTGATGGCGTTTCTCCGAACGCGATGGGTCTCGTGGTCCGGCGTGGCAGACGCTGATACCTCCAGCGGGCCGAACAACGAGGCTAGGAAATGGGCATGCTTGTCGCGAATGCGGCCGGTCGACGGGTAGATCTCATCCACGAAGTCATAGTCGTTGCAATGGAGCTCCTCGGGGTTTATACGGACGATGGGTCCTACGACACTCGTCAGTCCCTTTCACACAGTAACTTATACAGCATGGCTGCCGTGGAAAACGATCGGTGATTGCCCATAACTACGTACCGTACTTCTCGTGCATGGCCTTGATCTCATGACTGTATCGGCCGCCCTTTACCAAGTCGTACCACGCTTCGTAGAAAAACGAGGCAGCGGCCAGCTTGGGTCCAGGGAACTGGTGCAGCGGTTGGAACGGCGAGACATTGTAGAGGGCGAGGGAAAGCCTATATACAAGCCAGAGCGTTATCAGACGCAGAAGAGTCGTAGGTGTGAAGAGTGCGGCTGTCACGGCATCCAAGCCGATTATCGACGACATTTTGGTTTCGATCGAAGAGAGCACTCCGCGGATAGGAAACTGGTCGGGCACCGGCAGCTCTTGTTGATAAGTTCGCTTCGAACCGTTTTATAATGCCCAAGTCCAAGCAGGCTGGCGATTGGGCGTCACTGAACACGTGCTTCCTGAGGGGTTGGTGGTATCCATTACCGAAAACACATTCCAACCATTATCTGGACGACAGTTATGTAGCATCACATGAAGTTCAGGCCATACAGGGCGTTTATAGCTTCCAAGAGACCACCCAATATCGCCTGCCTGGCCATGTATCTGCCCATCTGCGCCGCAAACTCACGAGTGATGTTGCCCCCATGAATCACAGGGGATAATAGCTATCACTGTTGACCTCTAAAATACGTGCTCAATACTAGGTGATTCGCGCACGAGTTTTCTTGTCTCAGACAAAATAAAAAAGGTCATATAAGTGACTGGATCGTCTGTTAGGCTTGTTGATATACTTTCCGTACTTCTTGCGCAGTCCGAGCCCGGCCCCTTGTTCCAATGGCGGTGCAACACTTTGCCCACAACAGACGGCATGGCTCCCCGCAAACCCAAACTTGACCCCGTGGCACGGAAATGGGCACGCCCGAGCCGGTCAGACAACCGGTGGCAGGCGGGATACTACCGTCATATAGAAATAGAAGCAAGGATCTGCGTCCAGACGCCGATGCTTGGGTATCACATGCTTCATCTCCGCCATTCACTGCGAAGCAAGTCCACCCCATTGGGCAGTCCCTTCCGTTTGAATGCGCCGAGAATGGTGACCAGAACCATGGCTGGATGTTGCCGTTTCCCGTTCAGAGAGTTGTTCCCAAGCGAAGAGCAAGAACCCTAGTATGCCTCACTACCGAGCAACAAACCTCTTACCTATGAAGTCACGGCAGCATCCTTCGCCCCGTTCCAGATAGGCCCAAACGGCTGATCATGGAGGCAGCAGTTCGCGTCACAACTGGGCGACGTAACGTTATTAGACTTCTCTGCGGGACGCATTGGAGCGTGGATTTTGCTTGACTTACGAGTGGTTGATGAACGCTCCTGGCATGCAAACCACGCAGCCGGTACCACGTCCTTTCACCGCGTCGAAGCGGATGATACCCTTGAGTCGCTCGGTGGACTGTAGCGCCTGGTCGCGGATATCCCCCGCGGGGAGCAGGGGGGCAATGTCGTGGGGTCCAGCGTACATTCGAACCAGCAGCTGCTGGTCACCAGTCGACAGGGCTTTGAAGGCTTCGTCGGGGGTTTCCTCCATCGCGTCCTCCCGGGTATTATGCATAATCAGGGGCGGATCTTCGAGGATGCGGAAGCCCTTCGTAATGGGCATGGTGGCAAAGATGCCTAGCGAATTGGCGCAGTGGGTTGATTGTCGGATAGCGACATATCTGTTGACGGGGAACTCCATGGCGTCGTTCATCGCAGGGAAAGCAAAGCGAGGATGTGGACGAGGAATATCAACGCGTTGCTCGTTGCTGAGAAAGAAAGAAATCAAAAGGTGGGACGGCTGGCAGAAGGGAAGAAATTTATAACATTGAGCAGTGGGTACCAGTTCCCCCGGTTACTCCCTAATCAAGGTTTAGTTTCCTCAGGCAGAAATCCTGCCCCGGACCCGCACAGTCAGGAACGATTAGCAATAATTTCACAGTGCTCGCAGGGGTCTGTCTCCTAGTTGCCCGTAAATACGTGCGGTCTGGGGGTCCCAAAGATATTATATGCTTATACACAGCTAGTGCAGGTGTGCATTTGCTTGTTCCTCCAGGGCAACGAGAATTTTACATATAATATACCCACTTCATGTTCCTATGCGTGGGAATGGCCTGGGTCGCAAAAACACCTAGACCCTTGAGTGCACGCTCACACTGGCAGTGCTATGTTATCACTCAGAGTGTACTCCATTCTGGTCGGTGTACTACAGCGTCGAAAGGTTCTGAAATGAGAGAAAGCAGGACAAAAGCTGAAGCAGGTGTCGTGAAGGTGGAAATTATATTAGATGGAGGGAAAATTCTGCCGCGTTGATTCCTCGTCAAGATCAATTTACCTCAGGCGCAACATGGATCTCGGAATCCATGGTGAGCGGTTACTTATCTAACACATGGAGACGATGTATTCAGGTGGGTCTGCAGTCACAAGAGTCTGGTCTAGATACGGTAAGCAAGGATACATAGCTGTGCTGAGAAAAGCTGGTCTGTCTCGGCTGCAGGCTCCTATAAGTGTTTCCTTGTCCGCGTGGCGAGAAGATCGAGCCAGAGATGTTGCGCAGGCCTGCTGAAAAGTATAGAATTATCCTGGGCCAAGAAAAATCTCCCGCACATTGATTTATAACCAAAGTCAAGCTACCTCAGGCAAAAAATTGTTGGAACTAACAGCCAAGGATAATGACTGACTAAGTTATGCATATGTCTACTCTTGCTATCAGGGTTGGACTGTCAGTTGCCTTTAATAACGTGTATTAAACATAGTTGTGGTAAACATGCGAGTGAACATTTGCTTGTCTAGGAGGGATAGTGCGGCGAATAGCTCATGCGCATCCGAGGCGGCATCCTCGCGCGTGTCGAACATCATCATGGCCGGATCCTCAGCGATGCGCAGGCCTTTGGCGATGTCGTGAGTCGCAAAAACACCTTGGCCCTTCAGTGCCATCGGGCATTAGCGGACCGCAGCGTGTCCGCTGATCTGGTGCTCCATGCTAAGCGTATCGGCAAAAGGGAGAGGAGAATGGTTGGGTCGCCAAACGCGAGAGGCGAGTGGTTGGGTAGCTGAAGTTCCCGGAATGATGCAGTTCCCATAATGCTGCATTGCGGATGGAGGAAGGCTTGTCTTTCTCGGTTGCAGAGGGTAAACAAAAGTTCTACTAGGGAGATTCCCAATCAAGGTCCAGCTGCCTGAGGCAGAATATTGTTCGGGACTACAGCAAAGGATAACAACTCACAATGCTTTTACACCGGCTATAAAGTGTTAGACTGTTAGTTACCCTTAACGACGTGTACCAGAAGAGTATGACGGCTTGCTGTATTTTATACGCCTAGGCACACTGAACCCAGCATTTGTTTGTCCTCTTAGAGTCATGCGAAGAAAACATTCACGACCTCTCTTGAAGTATTTGGCATGATCTTCAGGCATCGTAGCTGATTTCTAGAACCTATACCGCTCGCTGCCCCTGATGGTGTACGGAGTCACATCCACAGGGGATGTGCTGCTCCCAGTTTTGCACTCAAGCATTTGAGCCTGCTCTGTGAGAGCCGATAGTCTGAAAGTTTCTTGGAAATACGAAAGCACTACTCATACATGGCCGTAACATTGGGTTGCGGTCTAGACGCCGCGTCATTATGACGCATCTCCCTGACACCGCCACGGCTACACTGAGCAGGCAACATGGAACAAACATCTACGCGTCATTCGTTATGACAATCTTCTTTCTGGATGACACCTCTCCAAGTATATCGATTAACCAGTAACTTATTTATGCCGCACGTAGACCATATTTCCCTTTCCACTTCTGACATCTATCTCCCCTATTTCGTCCTCATACTTCTCCACAGTGCTATATACAGACATACCAATAAGCAAACAATGTTAACATAATACAGCTGGTAATTTCTTTCAGTCCGATGTAAGTACTAGGTTATTACACCCTTCCATTAGGGCATATCTAACCAATGTACCTCGGTACTCACTGTGTCCCCGCGTGGTGGGTGTTTTCTTCAGTCATTGGTAAGTCGGCCAAGTTTACGCTCCAATGATATTCACGGCGAAATTCAACACGTCAAGCAGCTGCAAGCCGAACGCGTGCCTGTATTAATCTTTGTCAGATAGGCTCCTCTGTCCCTCTTAAGGGATAACCACGCTCCCGAAAGCCCGCCAATATTGGAATTATGCTCCTTACCTAAGCCTACTTGATAAGCAAACCGATCAAGATTTTCACGCCGCGCTCATCGTTATCGCCTTCACCTTCTCAAACTCACTAACCATCCACCGGCAGTGAGGAGCCTGATGTGAGGACTGGATGATGATTCCTTGCCAACAACGGCCCTTCGAAACCTTCTGCCGAAATAAAAATTGGCTTATTACCACACGAATGTTGGCCGGACCTGTCGACACAGTCCACTTCATGGAAGCAGGAGAAGCTCGAGACGAGCTCCAGCAATCCAATCATGGATTGCACAGTATCATCGGGTATAACACCATTGTAGGAGCCGGCACCGGCGGTGCTATTTGTGTCGTGGGCCCGTTCCTCAACCACTCGTAAGTCTAAAACTGTTGATACTTTCAAGAAGCATAGCGGTGAAGGCTAAGATTGTCCGGCAGGTGCAATCCTAATGCGTACCTCTACTGGAACGAGCTCCTTGAAGTAATGACCCTACACGCCCTCACGCCTATTGCTTGCAGAGAAGGGATTACGATCGATTATCTGGACGATCAATCGACTTACCCTACCGCGGACCAGCGAAACGCGACCTTAAAAGAAAACTAGGGATTTTCCTGCGCGTGCGGGCTTTGTCACGGAGCAGGTGCAGTCGCCTCGGATTACCGCCCCCGACGAATGGGGGATTTGCGAAGACTGTTGACCGGTTATAACCGGAGCGTCATGGTGGTCCCTGGTATTGCCATGCCCATGGTCGGCCAAGAGGAGCATGAGAATGCCATTGGCATATTGCATACCCCCCTTTCTTGTTTCGACGAAAAGGTAAGCAGCCATAAGCTCGACGGTACTAAGCACCTACTTACTTATGCCGTAGTAAACGCCTTTTACACCGACTGATTGCAATTTTCCAGTTATCCGGGTACGTATGAAGGCTCGGCCCAGATCAGCTCAATTCGGCGAGGTTAGACCTTTTATAGAAATAAAAGGATATCATAAGGGTGGGCGAGGCTTTCAAAACACACAACACCCGAGACGACGCGGTAGAGGATAACCCCCAGGGCGACTTCTAAGTCTTGTCTACTAGAGACAAGCAGCTGCTGATTCGGATGTACGCCGGCCTTTACGACGTTGTCCCCCTCCTCCCAGCGGGAGATATTCGTGATCAGGCTCAGCACATATGTTGATGTGGACTCGGATCTCGTGCTCTTGAATAAGACTCTTGATCCTCGCTATCGACTTGAATGCATTGACATCCAGTGAAGACTCGGCCCGTAGCTTCACCACAGCAAACGCTCCACGTATCGTGATATTTCAAGCCACTTCTGCGAAGGCGCTCCTGACTCCGGTGACTGCGTTCTCTACAGAGCTGTAGTATCCTCCCACGGCCTCATCACGAAGGTACATGACAGGCTGACGCGACTTGCTCTCTCTGTCTTCCTCAGCAAGCCATCCGAGCCAGCGTGCCACCGCTCTTCGATGGCGTCGTCTGCCGACCATCACCATGCTTATAGGGCATGCGTTCGGACATTAAACCTCTACGCAAGCTCCACTGAACGCTACCATAGAAGCACGCATCAGCGACCCTATACCCAGCTTCCCGCTCCAACATGTAGCCATAGCCATGACCAAACGCATATCCCAGTCCACACCATCGCCTCGCCCCTCCTCCTATTCATCCAAACTTCCGACTCCCCCCCGTGACCTTCTTCTCCCCATCTTTTCCCTTCTCATTCCGCGCCTTCTTCCCCTTCCCAATCAGTTCCAAGTGGCCCGCGCGCTCGCCCAGCAGCTTCTCGGTGCGCGCCACGAGGCCGGCCGAGTACTTCTTCTGCAGCTTGTCGGCCGACGAGCCCTTCTTGGCCTTGTAGACGCGCGCGCCTTTTCCTATCTTGGCCGGCTGTTTCTTGCCCGCGGAGGGGGTGGGGGCTTTTTTGAGGGAGCCTTGGGGCATGATCGTTCTGGTTGTGGTTGCGTTGGTGGTGTTGGGTTGGTGTTGCATTCGGTTGGGTGCGCTTGGGGTTGTGATTGTAGAGATGGATCGGTCGGATTGCGATGAGGTGGGCGGAATGCGATTTGGTTCGTTCGCCTGGTTGTCCTCTATTGATCTCTTCTCGCGGTTGTGTGAGGGAGTGCGCGCTGCTTCGTCGTGGGTGGTGGTGAGGTCGGAGCTGGTCCGCGGAGCTGGTCCGAGATGAAGCGGGCGGCCACAAGCAAAAGGCGGAGACTGGAAAAAAGTGGCTGCCCTCACCGTTGTTCGGCCCCACTTTACACTTTTCTCAGGGTCCTCTGTCCCGGTCTAGTCCCCCCTATCTCGTTACTTCCGCTCCTCCTCATCTATCGTTCACACCGCCTATCAACTGAGTATAAATTTTTGGGAATGCAAGGTGATCAGGATTCAATGATAATTGTATAGGTATATTATCACATCTACTTATCTATGCCTGCCCCAAGCGAACCCAGTTAAGGCGCAGCATTCTTTTGCAACCCATCAACTGAAACTCCCCGTCACGAGAAGATCAATGTGTACCACCACCGCCAACACATTATGAGCAATACAGGGATTCGACCAAACGGGGACGTCGTCTTCTCATCGCATCCCCTAGCTAGACCTAAACTCCCCGAAAGCAAAACCCGCAGCCCTCTTTGCCCAGGCTGCTTCAAAATGCAAGCAGGCCCAACCGCTCCAAAACGCCAGATTATGTGTATTTGTGCTCGCGTTCCCGAAGCAGTGAAGCAGGAACAATAATGGTACAGGGTTAAGTAGATGGAGTTTCATCGTCGCAACGTAGGTAGACGGCGTTGACAGATTGACAGATAGGAGATATTGTTCGTCTAGTCTAGGCATGGAGGCCTGGAACACTGGGGGTATATCCGACTTGGTCCAATTCGGTTGTTCAATCCGACGATGGGTATGGTGTGAAGATGCGCTGGTGCATGAAAGCGTCTGGTAACTGTACTCAAACTTAAGGCAAGGAAATATCAGTTTAGTGACGGTCTGGTGTCAAGTGGCGTGGCCCGTTCGGTCCTTTTGGGTGCGAGTCGCGCCGTGGTATGATATGAATTTCTCCTTCTCTTCACTCCTCTCCTCTCACTGTACATTCAAAAACAGATCATCGCCCCTCCTCGTCGGCGTCAGCTTCGGCTGCCACGTAGGCGTCATCGGCAGCGTGCCCGTCCCCAGCGGCGACGCAAGAGCCGCCATCTCCGGGCTCAGGAGCCCATTATCGCCTGGCTGCCGTCGCCAGTGCGGCGGTCTGTTCCGGCCGCCATTGGCATCGAGCGCCAGGGCCGCGGCTCGGTCATTGCCGATCCGCTTTGCGAGCAGCGAGCTCGCGGCCGAGCTGATGGTCCGGCTGCTCATTGGCGAGGCGGCGGTGGTGGTCTGTTGCGACGCGATGTGCGTGCCCCGCCCGTCGTTTTGTCGGCTTTCGGGCCCGGACGGCGGCGTCGGTGGCATGGGGAACCTATCGAGTGTTTGTGGCGTAGGCGAGAGGCCTGATGGTCGGGGCCCCTGGACTGGTGTCTGCATCACTCTTTCGGGCCGCCACGAATCCCGGGAGGTATTGTTATTTCTATCCGCTTGGACTGGCGAAAACCCAGGCCGTGAGATCTGATGAAGTGGTGTCTGAGTCCTGTCAGGGCGTACCACATTCCGCGCGGGGAATACTTCGATGTTGGGCACTTCAGGCGAGAACCCAGAACCGAAAGTAGGGTAGAGCGGCCGTGCCGGCCTTTCGGGACGTCTTGGTCTCAATGGCGCTGGATACGCCCCAGGCGAGTCCCGTACTGCAGGAAGAACAGTCCCTAATGTCGGACTAGGTTGGCCGGGTGGTGAACCCATAAAGTTGGGCTTCTTCGGTGGCGGCACCATTCTCATCGTCATCCCGCCAAGTCGTCCGGGGATCTTCGGGTACGTCACCTGTGAGCGTCCACTTGCTGGGGATGGCGACTCCATGACTGGTGAAAGATGGGATAATCGGGCAATATCGGGCTCGTAAGCGAAGTCGTCATCGAATGGTCCAGTTGAGGTGGTGTTGATGGTAGTGGTGGACGCCTTCGAATCTGATCGATCGATTTGTTTACTGCCGCTGTTGTTTCGAGACATGGTCAAGCTGTTCCTTCGGTTGGATGGAACTCCACGAGATTGCCGAACCGCACTTGCTTGGGAATACAAGCTTGATGCGCGAGAGTTCGCTCGTTGTGCAGCGTCTGCCGACAGGAATGCCCGCTGTGGTGCTCTGGGTAGCGCCGAGGCCGCAGATATCGCCGAGGCCATCCGCATTGTCTCTCTGCGCGCCTCTTCCTCCCTCTTCTCTATTGGCGATTTGGTCAGCGGGGTGTATGTGTCGAGCTCCGCGGCTTCCGCAATCTGTGCCACTTGGGACTGGCGATTGTTGTTACTCAAGACCCAGTTGCCCCATCTGTCGGCGACATATAACGTGGTCGCGGATAGGGGATCTGTCGGTGGCGGACGCCAGACCTGCTCGCCTTCCGCAGCCTCTGTGTCCAAGTCCGCAAACGCAGTCATATTTGTCATGGTGCTATCCCTACCTGTTGTTGGTGGTGCTAACGAGGATGCCACCCTTGTTGTAGTGGTGGCCGGTGGCGGAATCGCCAGTGTCAAAGCTGGCTTTGGTGCTGGTTTGGGAGGAAGTAGCCTCGACGGCTTTCTCTGGATGGACTGAGCAGGTATCTCGGGTGTCTCTGGTGGTGACATCACCGGCGACCTGAAAGAAAACCTTGGTGGTATTTGGCTACGGGGACGCGATATCGCGAGTCCTATCATATCGCGATCAACGTCTGCAGTCCGCTCAGTCGACTGGCCATACGGCGGGCCCTGGACCAAGGGCGGGACTGGTGTCCCAATGTCAGGTCGACACCTCGATGTCCGAAATTGAGGAGAAGAAATGTGAAATATCCGGGACAATCTTGATGCGGCCGGCTCCGGAGAACTTCTGTCGTCAGCCATTGGGAAGAACTCCCTTTCAGACTCTGGGTACCTCCGCTTGCGAAAATGTCTGGCAATGAATATGAGGCCCAAGGCGACAGCAAGAGCTCCAGCAGCACCAACGGAAATTCCAACGATCTGGCTAGTCGCAAGGGTCGTAGACGTTGCCGGTTCGGCGGACTGAGTGGGCGAAGAGTCTGCCGTCGTTGATGTGGGCTTCGTTGTCGAGGTTACTGGCGAGCTTTTGGTGCTGGTCACGAGAGTCGATGGGGTTGGTGTGCTGAAGGATGTGGTCCGAGTCGGCAGGCCCGTCTGTGTTGGTAATATGATGCTCACGGCTCCTCCAGATGATGGAACAACAAAAGATGCCGTGAGTACAGCATGCGTGAGCGGCGATGCACTGGGTTGACTCGAGCACATATTCAGAGCTCCAGCTGCCACAGAGTCTGTGTTCACATCAGTACCGGGTCATCGCTAGAGCCAGTTGCTTGTTCACGTACCGCTAGTATCATCCCCAGTACAGGCACCAGCCTGGATTTCACCGACGAGACACTGGAGTGCCCCCTCTCCGATCGTGAACCCAGAGGCGGACCGCGCTGAACACAAACATTGTAATGAAGCCGATGTTCCGCAGTCTATCGATGGGAAACTGGTTCCGATGAAACCCACCACGCAGTCCCGCGCACACTCCGGGACCACTCTCGTGATGTCACCGCCCAGTTCGACGCAGTGGGCGAAGGCTGCCGATAGTGTTGTCCATATTAAGAGTTGAGGAAGTAAAGGCTTGCGAGCCATTCTATGTGAGAATATCTTTGCGTATGGTCAGCCTGGGGAGTTCTTCAACGGCCGAGTCCGTAGTTCGTCTTCTTCTCAGGGGGGGTGGGCGCATTGCTTCCTGATCTCCGGGGGGCTGCTCGTGATCTGCGGAAGACTTCTCGGCAGCACAGAAGGAAGAGGGAGCTATAGATGGAGATTGAAATGATCCGTTTCAGGCCTCCACCCAGGCGGCCTCGATGTATGGTATATGACAAGACGACCGGCCGACTCACCTATGAAAGAGGAAAGGACATGCAACGAGGTGACCGGCATCTCAGCATGGTGGTCCTGCACAGCCCGGCCCAAGATGCAATTCACGAGTAAGAATAATATAGATGCTGAAAATAAAACGGATAGGAAAACCGACGACTGCGGAAAGGAATGCAAGACCGGAAGCAGAGGAGGAGAACAAGGTTTGTTGCAGAATGAGGCAGAGCCCCAACATTATGGAGGGAGGATGGCCTGATGAAGACGACCTCCTTTGGGGGCAGCAGCGCCAAAGGATACCATGCATGACGCAGCGGCCGTGAAGCCGCCCAGTCACGACTAGACTGGGCGACTATGGGAAGAGAAACTTCAACGCTGGATAGCAAATGGTCATAGTAGGTAGCTTGTCGCTGGGCAGACCGTCCGAGTCTGCGGATAGGATCTCGCATCAGGTTGTATTGACGCTGGCAGAAGCAAAGATGCCTGGAGAAATTCCAGCCAATCCAAAAAGGGTGGTATCAGGGCTGTGTGAGACTTCTCATTGGCCGGCCTTTTTATTTTGGGCCCAGGTCGGCGGTCGAAAGGGGTTCCGGTCGGGCGCCGGTTAGGCCCCCGGGAGCCTGTCGAGGCTGTCTAAAGGCTGAAGGTTGGCGAGAGACAGGGTTCACGGGTGTCTGCGGTCTGCATATTCTGCAAATATCAGTGCAAATATAGACGGCTCGCTATAGGGGGCCTGCATCAAGGGTAGGCCAGGCGGGCTGTGTGTGGTCCAAAAGAAGGGTGTGGCAGTTCATTTGCGCGCGCCTAAATATTGCTGGACGTCATCCGGCCGCAGGGTTGTCAACTTGTCATCTGCAGCGTTTCGCTTTTCCGTCCAGCGTCAAGCAACCGCCCCCAACCCGCATTCGGAGTCTTTCCCAGCCAATCCAGGCTATGCCGCTGCCGGAGTGCTGCAGTGCTACCCCAGGAACTGCACGAGAGACGCCCATAAGATACCCCTCGCACGATATACTGCAGCGGCTAGACACCATTAGTTTCGACTCGGGGCCGCATTGTTCGTACCTCTTCGGGGGCCTTCTTGGCTGGCGAATTGTACGGATACATACCTGGTATATAACAGCATGCATTGGGGGCTAGGTGCTTGCATCGACCCTCGTCCTGGTCTACAAAAGAAGGAGAGCAGAGAGACGTGTAGAAGCGTATATAGGCAGACAAAGATGTATAGGTAATGTGCGCGAGCAGTGAGTGGCCTGCCGGGTTGCATCCTTCCCGTATGTCGCGCTTGGAGGAATAAGTGCACCAACTGCATTTGACTGTCGCGGGGTATGACGAACCTGCATGAGCATCATTCTCGTTCAACACTCGTTGGCTTCTCAGCCGCCACTGCCTGCAGTCTCCAGCATGTCTTTCCCGCTTAACCTAGCGCAGCGAGACAGGTCAACAGAAAAGAAAGCACATGATGAGCATGAACCAGTTTCGCATGAAATCAGATGCTCATTGAGTCAGTTGGTATCTAGTCGTTCTCTCATTATCTACAACCTTTTTGTGTAGCAGGATCCTTAGCAGTCCATGCCAGATTGCCAGAATTATCGTCTTGCAGAGCGGGAGGAATCAATCCATAGCCTGCCGCCAACATTCCGGCATATCTCAGAGCAAGTTTCCATATTATGGCCAACATCTGATAATCCACAGAAACCATATGCGTTGTCCGGACCTGGCTTGGTGTATTATAGCTCAAGCCTCAAGCTCCAGCGCTGGGTACGAAGTTCGCCTGAGCACGACTGGACTTGATGACCCGCTGGACCTGCATCTCGGTCTCATCCCAGTCATCGGGGCTCAGAGAGACCAGGTCAATCTGAAGATCTTGAGCGATGGCCTGCAGAGCCATGAAGCTCTTCTTGTCCGAGACGAAGGTAATGCTGACACCAACGCGACCAAAACGACCCGTTCGACCGATACGGTGAAGATAAGTCTCAGTGTCATGCGTGGCATCTCCCATACCTTTCATCGGGATATCATAATTGATAACCATTGAGACCGTGGAGACGTCGATTCCGCGGGCGAGGACGTTGGTCGTGATGAGAACCTTGGACTTGCCAGTTCGGAAGTCGTCCAACAGAGAGTCGCGTTCACTACCCTCGTACGCTCCGTGGAGGACCGACACTTTGTGACCGTCTCGAACCATGCTCTGCTGAATACGGGTCGCACTCTCTCGGGTCTAGTATGGTCAGCAAGGGCGACGACGGGACAGACGGGGGTTTATTCACCTTCACAAAGATGATCGACGAGCCAATGTTCATCAGTCCGTACAGCTTACAGAGAATCTCGTACTTGTCGGACTGTCCAGGACAATCCATGTACATCTGCGAGATACCCTTCACCGTGAGGTCCTGAACTTTCAACTTGATCATGTTCGCACTAGGAGCAAAAGCAGTTGCATACTTCATGACCTTGTCGGGGAAGGTGGCAGAGAAGAGAAGAATCTGGATGTCCTTAGGAAGCATACTGCATTGGGCACATCAGCATGTAAACAACAGCGGCAGGACGATAGCGAGACTTACGTCTTCACTCGAGTGCATTGGTCTCCCAAACCCTGCTGGTCCAGCATGTTGTCGGCCTCGTCAATAACAAAAACCTTCAGGTGGCTGACATCAAACTGGCGTCGGCGAATCAGGTCCATCACCGTTCCAGGGGTACCGACGACAACAGCCTTCTTAACGTGTTCGCCTCGAGGAATACCACCGGGAATAGCAGCAGCAATTCCAAGGTCGGGAACGAACTGTCCAATCTGCGCGATGACACTCTCGATCTGACGAGCAAGCTCACGGCTGGGGGCAAGTAGGAGGGCTTGAGGGCTGTCGGGCTTGTTGAAGTCGACGCGGGAGAGGACGGTCGTGACGAATGCAGCAGTCTTGCCAGTTCCAGACTGAGACTGAGCAATCATGTTTCGCGGGGGGGTCGCAAGCATGAGTGGCAGAGCCTTCTCCTGCACCTTGGAAGGCTTCTGGAAATTCAAGGCGAAGAGCCCCTGGAGGACGGCAGGAGGTCTGCGAGTGTCAAATTAGAAAGGAAGTCATCACGGCCATCCCAGGAGAATACCTACAAACCGAGATCCTTGAAGGAGGCAACCGATCCCAACGGGTTGTCAGTGTCCTTCTGGAGGTCGCTGAGCTCAACCTCGACCTCGAAGGCAGGTTCCTGGAGCGACGAGTTTCCAGCAGCACCGTCGGTCTGGTCATTCTCAGGGCTACCCGCAGTGGGTGCCTGGGCGGGTTGTCCTTCAGCCATGGTCGATGATGATATTGTTCGTGGGGGGTGACTTCGGACGGGACGATTGAGTATTGGATTTGACACGGTGATAGTGGAGAGTCCAGGAAGGCGTGTGGTGTGGCGGAAAGCTACTGAAGTAACGATCTTTTGCTGTTGCCCTGGGGAGTGGAAGGCGAGAAGGACGCGATGCGCCGGGTCGAACCAAGGCAACCAAGCAATCGAGACGGGCCTGATGTTTAACGATTAGCAATCGCCGATTGGCCAGAGGCATCTGGGAAAAGGTGCACATACACATAAGAATCTTCAAGGTCCTTTGTCGCGCTCTGCAACAACGGTGATGCAGGCTGTTTGGAAAGAAGGATCGAAGGGAGCTTCGCGATGTAGCCCGTTGCTCAGCCAGGAGCTCCAAACGTTATCTAATAATACTTGGTGGGGTGCCTGGGAGATGGTGGGGTAAATCAGTACAGAGGTACATCCACCCATAGACAGATGGAAGGAGGGGTAAACCAAAAGGGCCCTACTACTGCCAGGTGCCAGTCAGCTGGCAGCAGTGACACCCAATATCAGCCCAATTCGATAGTCAGGCACTATTCGCAGCTGCTAATTAAGTCCCTGTTACTCCGTACCCAACCCTGCCAACCTTGTGTGTGGGCTGTGCTTCCAGTCTTTAATGGTGATTCCCAGGTGGCTCATTTCAGGTTCGCAATTGCTGAGAGAGACGGTTGACTTCCCTTATTAATGTTCATGGTATGGCTTGTCATACAACATTTGTCACCCATGCTTTTTGTATATCGGATACCTCCACCGGGGCTGTTCTCCTTCTTTGTGCACGCGTAAACCTGACCTCCTTCTCCCACGCTCTTCGCAATGGCTGAGGTGGACGTTGCGCCGACTTTCGGTGCCGAGCTAAAGGTATAGCGAACCCTCCGTACCTCTATTGAGCAATATCCTGGTAGCTGGTAGACAAAGTTGCTAATTGCCTGGCTTGGGAATAGGATGGCTTCAGGCCCGCGAATGCCTGGGTCGCCAATGGCATCGCATGGCTCGACGACATCCAGAACTTCTACCGTGAACGAAGCGCCATCGAGAAGGAACACAGCGCAAAACTGAATGCCCTCGCCAAGAAGTATTTTGAGAAGAAGACAAAGAAATCTACGAGTTTGAGTGTTGGCGACACGCCTTCCATGACGCCAGGATCCCTCGAGAACGCCTCTCTGACCATATGGACCACCCAACTTACCACCCTCGAGTCGCGAGCCGACGAACACGAAAAGTACGCGAACGAGTTAATACATCAGGTCGCCGACCCCCTCAAGTTCTATGCGGGCAAGTTTGAAGAGCTGCGCAAGCGTCATGTCGACTATGCCACGAAGCTCGAGGCCGAGAGGGACTCGTCTTACGCCGACCTGCGCAAGACCAAGACAAAATACGATGCTGTATGCCAGGAGGTGGAGAGCAAGCGGAAAAAGTCCGAGTCGTCCTTCGACAAGGCGAAGGCGCAGAGCAACTACCAGCAGCAACTGCACGAGATGAACAACTCCAAGAACACATATCTGATAGCCATCAACGTCACGAACAAGCAGAAGGAAAAATACTACCATGAATACGTGCCAGAGTTACTAGACAGTTTGCAGGACCTGTCGCAATTCCGAACCATGAAGTTGAACACCCTATGGTCTACGGCAGCCAGCCTGGAAATAACAATGCTTCAGCAAAGCAACAGCCTCGTTGACCACTTGGCCCAGGAGATTACCCGGAATCAACCGCACCTAGACTCTATGATGTATATTCGGCACAACATAGGATCTTGGCAGGAACCATCCGACAAGATGTTCGAACCGAGCCCTGTCTGGCACGATGACGATGCCATGATTAGCGACGAACCAGCCAAAGTCTTTTTGCGCAATGTATTAAACAAGTCGAAGGCTCAATTAGGGGACCTTCGACGAGAGGTGGACAAGAAGAGGAGGGAGGTCGAGGGTACCAAGCGTATAAAACAACGAATCCGCGAGGGGACTGATAAGCAGGATGAAGTACAAGTCGTCACGCAGATCTTCTCCATGCAGGAAGACTTACACCAAGTCGATCGCAAGCGCCTGACGGCTGAGGTTGAGACATCAACCATCACATCAGTGGTTGGAGATGTCACGTTAGGAGCCAAGAACCATAACTTCAAGTCGCAAACCTTCAAGATCCCGACAAACTGCGACCTCTGCGGCGAACGGATATGGGGTCTATCTGCCAAGGGCTTTGACTGCAGAGATTGCGGCTACACGTGTCACAGCAAGTGCGAGATGAAGGTGCCAGCCGAGTGTCCTGGTGAATTATCCAAAGAGGAGCGCAAGAAGTTCAAGGCAGATAGCCAGGCAGCGGCTGGAGCGCTGCTAAAACCTTCGTCTGGGCCGCCTCCACATGTTGCCGAGTTGCCAGATCTGAGTCGGACTAACACCATGAACTCCTTGAGCTCGGGGTATGCCGCGAGCGCCCATCGCTCAGTCGGTGGTGCAACACCAGGTCCCCAGGCGCCTGCCGAAGAGGCACCACCCGAACCTTTGGGACCGCGGCCTGCCGCTAAAAAGAGCCGAATGGTTGCTCCACCGCCATCAGCTTATATCAGCGAGTTGCCTGACAATTCGGTCAACGGTTCGGGAACAACAATGATCTCGGAACAAAAGGGCAAGATGGTATACACATTTGAAGCGAGTGGCGACGGTGAAGTATCTGTCCCTGAAGGACGGGATGTTGTCATAGTCGAACCGGATGGTAAGTCACGGAAAGCTTGCAATGAGAGGGGATGTTTACTTATCAATTTTTACAGATGGTTCAGGCTGGATCAAGATCCGAGCCGGCTACAAGGAGGGGATAGTGCCCGCCAGTTATGTCGAGGTTTCCGCTGCGCCCATTATGCCCCAAAGCACTGGGTCGACACTGAACACCAGGCCAGCATCGACGTACTCCAACTCTGGATCATCCATGGGCGCGCCAGGCCCGCACGTCAAAAAGAAAGGACCGGCAGTCGCTCCCCGTCGCGGAGCTAAGAAACTGAAATACGTGGTCGCTATGTACGACTACACGGCGCAGAGTGACACAGAGCACAACATGACGGAAGGCGAACGATTCGTACTGATCAAGGAAGACCCTGGGGATGGCTGGGCAGAGGTAGAAAAGGGCGGTGCAATAAAGAGCGTGCCGGCCAGTTACGTACAGGTAGCAACGGACTAGCTGGGAGCACGCCGTAAAGGGGTTCGTGTACAAGTCCTTTGTTGTTCACGGCCCTGCTGCCTTTGATACGAAGGAGGAGACAACTATATCATGCTCTGGGAAGGGACATGATGTGGGCATGGAGAGGTGGGAAATCGGTGCAACAGCCGCCGTGTCCGTGGAAATGAGGAAGCAAAAGTCCATAGATTGCGGTCCTTTTTGGTATCCAAGTCAATGAACATACTGCCTAGCTCAGCGAGAGCGCGGCTCGTGCGTCCGAAGAAGTTCATGCTGTTTTACGTCTGCATATATGCATCTGTAAAGGACGTCAAGCACGCATCCTACTCATTACGTCTTTTCTCCAAGGGGCGGACACTCACGACTAGAGAAGCAAGTGCTGGCACATCCAGATTTCTAAGCATACCTATGGCTTCACTATCACGATGTGATCGAATCGTGCGACACAGTTACCCGCTCAACGCCCAGCTAAAAGAAGGCCGGCATAACTTCCGCGCGGATCATCATTGCCAATGAGAACTGCCGTCAGAGACTGTCAATGCCATTACGAGATCCTTTCTATGAGCTTAGGCAGAATGTATGTGCCAAGAATATCAACGCCAATAATCTATCTCAGGCCCCTTCAAGGCCAATAGCTCCCAGTACCACCGGGGCGTCTTTTGCCGGGAGGACGTTTACCGTCCCCCTCACCGTCCTCCTCCTCCTGGTCCTGACAGCGTTAGAATCTCGTCGAAATGTGAACGAATTGCTTTTCACACCGCACACTGCTGCAACTTGTCTCTACTTGACATCCATCAAAATGCGCGTGACCAATCGAAGCATCTTGCTGGCTCTAGCTGGAGTAGCAGCAGCAGACTCACCAATTATCGGACCAGTCTGCCCCTGGAACTCATCGCCGAGACTACGGCTGCCAGTCTGCGCCAGTCCCGACTTCGTACGCGCCTCGATAGCGCCTGAACTGCTGTTTGGCACCAAGGACGGCGTGCGGAACTTAACTTGGAATCAAGCTGGATGGCAAGGGCCGCATCGTTGTATTAATGGGACATGCCTCTTCTCGAATGACAACATAGGAGGCGGAATCGCGCTGATCACAAGCGAGCACCACGCAAAGATAGTAGCAAGCTTCCCCCAGGGGCCCGCCGAAGAAGCCGCACCGCCGCCATTCCACGTAGCGAAAGTGGCAGGCAAGGGCATGGGACTCGTAGCCAACAGGACAATTCGCAAGGGCGAGATCATCATGCAACGCACGCCCACACTCCTAGCCCAGACCGCACCCATCGTCGACCTAGACCCAACCCTCCGCGACCTCCTCTACGTCCTGGCCGTCGAAGCACTACCCGATGCCCGACAGGCCGCCTTCATGGCCCAGGTTGGTAGTGACATCCACGATAAGGTCAACACGAACTGCTTCCTGGTGTTCGTCGACGGCAGCAGCCACCTGGGCTGCTACCCCGAGGTCGCGCGCATGAACCACGACTGCCGGCCCAACGCGCACTACCGCATCAGCAACATGACGCACACGACAGTGGCCGTACGGACCATAGCCCCGGGGGAGGAGCTGAGCATCAGTTACGTCGACCTCCTCCTCACGCACGCGGAGCGGCGCGCGCTCCTGCACAAATGGGGGTTTGAGTGCGCGTGCGCGCAGTGCAGCCAGAGCGCCGCCGACACAGCCGCCTCCGACGCGCGACTGCGCCAAATCGCGAAGCTCAAGGCTGAGCTGGGGGATTTTTCGACAACGAAAGTCACGGCTGAGACGGGTGGGGAGATGGTGGGGCTTTATGAGGACGAGGGGCTGCATACGTATCTGGGGAACGCGTATACGAGGGCCGCGCTGAATTTTGCGCTGTTTGGCGAGGAGGAGAGGGCGAGGGAGTATGCGGGGATGGCGGTTGAGGCGCTGGAGTTGGAGATGGGGCCCGGGACGGGGGATGCCCGGGCGATGAGGATACTGGCGGAGGATCCGAGGAAGCATTGGACTTGGGGGAAGCGGAGGAAGCATGGGAAGTAAGGTGTGTCTGCAATGTCGCGAAGACGATGTCTTAGGTGTACGATATACGTTCAGTCTGGTCTATAGCTACAGCAAGGGCAACCATCGTGTGCAGACTGTACCGGACGAACTCACAAACTAGGTATGTATCAACTGGCCTTGAAGAAAGACCTGGTCGTCCACGATAGCTTCGTGTCTGACTGGCTCTCGTTCGAAGATTGGTCCTCCATGTCCTGGAACACCAAGCGCGGCGTGCGCGCGACCCTTCAACTCCCAACCCTCATAATAAACACACTTCTGGTCGTTGCTTTCACAGTTCCAGGGGCGTAGCAGCTGGCACTTTTGGCACAGGCAAGTACCCTACCTCCAATCTAACTGGGCTTACACGGATTTATGGAGAAGTAGGTAGTGATGATGTCAACTTGCGAGAGCCTCCATTGACAAGGTTCGTAATTGTCCGCCATGGTGGTGACTATGAAGCAAACCTGCGACCCCCCTGGATTGACAAGATACCTGCTTTCCGAGTGAAATGACCCATGTAACAAAACATATCGAGAACGTGGACTCAAACTGCGGCCCATATCCCAACCTGATCCGCGCGAACACCTCAATCCGCTCCCTCCTCACAAGCCTCTGATCCGCATGGTGATCACTCTATCCCCCTCGCCATCGACCCATACGCTCCAAATGTACAGTATCCGCCGTCGAGTGGCCAGGTACAGCAGGAAGTATATGTGAGGAGCGATGTATCCCCAACAGTAGATCCGAATCCATGTGTACTCGGCGTTCCGCCGACACCAAACTCCCCAGCCCGCCACACCCGTCGCAATGTAATTGGTAAGGAAAGCCCAAGCATCCCTCTTCAACCTATCATCAAGTGCTGTTGTGTCCAGCAGCCAGCATTCCCGCTCAAAAGGATGCAGATCTCGTTTCTGCTGCCGCCGAGGTCTGAATCTCTTCGAAAGATCGAGGTCGCGAGCGAGCTTTTTAAGTTGAGGTGTGATCAAGTGCTCTGGGCTGGAAGGGAAAGGCGTTACGGCGACGGGAGGCTCAGACGAGAACACTTCTAGGCTTTCGTACGTGTACCCGTGCTGAGGCAGGAAGTCGACGACAACGACTTTGTCGTAGTCGGCGAAATGAGGTGCGTTTGATCGCAAGAGGTGAGACATGTGTGCATTTCCTGCTTGCTCCTCGCGTAGCTTTTTCGGTTCCGTCCTGACGAAGAGGGTTGGATCATCGCTCGCACGATCATTCCGATTTGAAGACAACGCAATGGGAGTTTCCTGGATGGTCGACATGGTAACGTCGATGATGACATTGTCGGAGCTTATGAGACGGTGGTGCAAATTGTTCCCCTCTCTCTTCTGCTTTTGCACCATGTGTCGTTGGGTGGACAGAGGTGTGCAAGGGATCACGACTCCTGGCGAGCATATCGTGGTGCTGTTTTCGCTGGTGCCGACGGAACTAGGCAGTTGTTCTTCGGTAGCCCTTTGGGACTGCCGCATGCGAGCTTCAGTGAAGCCCGGCGCCGAAGAATCCGACGAATGCCCGAATTGGTGAGAGGCGGGTACCCAGGGGCTGGATGGAGATGAGAATCCAGGCCCTAGCAACCGCCTAGGTTTTGCTCGCGAGGGTGAGTATCCGGCCTGATGTTGAAGTGCTTGGTATTCTCGTGGTGTACTTCGCGGTACAACAGGTAGTCGAGGGGAGTCGAGGTTGTCCATTTCGCTTCTGAAAGAGGGAGAAGGCGTTGCCTCATTTCCTAGGCTTGCACTATCATATTGCTCGAATGTGTGCGGATACACCTGGGAATGTCTGTCGTAGCCGCTAGATGCGCCACTGAATCCAATATTTGACACTGGGTCGAGTAATGGACCGAGCTGGCGTGCTTTTGTCGGCTGGTAGTCTATGTAGGACTGTGCGAGTGCTCTATATCTCTTGTCGTCGATTGCTGCACAGGGAGCACTGATATGTACGAGAATTTCGGTGCCCATGGGTGAATTTGCCATTTGGGAGGGATGTGTTATGCTTGAGGCCCGATATATCGATGAATACAAATGGGTATATATATATGTGGTTGACGAGTTAGTGGTATCTGGGTATGGGTGGGATGTAGAAATTTGAGCCAAGTTAATTTGTAGCCATGAGCCCACGTTGGTTGTTATGGGGATTAGTAGAAGGTTACTATAAGGAATGTTATAAGGGTTGCTAGCGATACTTGTAAGAGTGGTTTCTATAAGTACCTTAAGCTAAGGCACCTAGCTAGAGCCCCCCTCTCCCCTCTAGTTAGAATCACTGTTTTAAGTGGGAAAATACCAAAATCCGCTGTATTCATTTGATCGAATAAGATTAATAAAAGTAAGATTCAACTTATAGTAAATAAAGCAACATATTTATTTATTAAACTTATTACTTATTACTTTTTTAACGGTTTATAAGTAAAATAAACCGTATAAATAAGCCGACTTAGTCCCTCTCGTTATCGTAATAATATAAAGAGGTTATTATTAAATCATATTTTCTTAAAGGTTGTGTTTTAACGGAGGATCCGAGGGCGCATTGGACTTAGGGGAAGTAGAGGAAGGATGGAAAGGAAGGTGAGATGTAAGAGATCATTGTTATTGCAGATAATGGTACTCTGTTCTATCATGGCTGGGGCGCATTTGTGATCACGCTGAAGACGAACTCACTTAGGGAGAAGGGATTGATGTTTTGGTGTATCTACTAGCTCTACAACGTTGCAACGCATGTCACCAGTCCCGACCGACCAACATCCAAGTGACGGTGGCTGCTAGCTCTCATGAGCGCTGCTATGCGAGAACCACAGCCCACGGGTGCGACCCCTTTCCAGCCAAGTCCTTCAACACCTTATATCACTGTCCGCGTATCCCCATCGTGATGACCGCCTCTCCTCCTCCATCATACCACACACTGTCAGTGTACAATGCCCTCCGGTGGCGTGCCAGGTACAGCAAAAGGTAAAGGTGCGGCGCGACATGGCCCCAGCAGTACACGCGAAGCCACCAAAACTGCTTATCCCGGCAGCACGACACCCCCCAGCCCGCTGTGCCGGTAGCGACGTAATTAGTCAAGAAGGCCCACGCGTCTCTCTTAGCCTTGGGGTCCCAGGTCGTGCACGTGCAGTCAAGCAACCAAAAGCATCGATCAAAGGGATGGATCGCTCGTTTCACCTCCTAGGGTCGGAATCTCTTGGAGATGTCCAGGTCCGCCGCTAGCTTTTGGAGTCTCGGCGTGATCAGTGATTGCGGGTCGAAGAACAGGTCCGCTGTGGTGACTGGTGGACCGGGGGCGAAGACCTCGAGGCTTTCGAAGGTATAGCCGTGCTGTGGGAAGAAATCGAGCGTGACTACGGCGTCGTACTTGGTGAAATCTGGGGCAGCACTCTTCTTGTCTTGGATAGGGGTTTGCTGGCTATGTTGTGCTTCACCTGCACCTGAATGTTCTCCCTTGGAGGTCGAGGGTTCGATCTCGTAATCTGCAGCACGGTTTCCATACGACGATTCTGGGATGACGGTCTCGCTGGATTTCAGGATGGTTTCTTCCCCAACGCTGCTGGAGGATCTCATAATCGTTTCTGGGATAACGCTGCTGGAGCTGGTGATGTCGCGGCGTTTCGGTTGGCGATAGCGCTCCTGATAAACGCCAGTCCGTGCAGGAGGTGTGCAGGGCACGATGAACGTTGGGGATGAAGTGCTGACGCTGTGTTGGCTGCCGCCTGAGGACGCGTGGTGCTGTTCTCTTGGGTCCAAAGCTCGAGGATGAAAAACAGTGCATTCTCTTTGGCAAACCCATCATTCAATTCTGGCGAGCTCGAGTACTGATGAAGATAATTCTCCAGCAGACGTGTGGGTGACGAAAGTTCGGGGATCGCAGCGTGATTCCAGGGGTCCGAGTCTGGCACCTCAAAAGACTCTTCTTCTTCCTGCTCCCTTTCATGATACTGCGCGGATTGCTGCCTGACGCGCAATTCAGGCGAGTTGAGGTTGTCCGCTACGTCCTTGAACGAAGCTGTAGAAAAACTGCCAGAAAATCCACGCTTTTCAGCTCTGCGCTCCTCCTTGCTCTCTGTTACGACATTAGCCCAGGTTCAGTTTCCGTATAGTTGAAGAACATACTGCTGGGGGAAGGTGCATCGTCACGCTCATCCTCGTCATCGGCGTCGTCACGACGTCGCTGGCAGTTGTTAGTGTGTACTGGGACCTGTCTAGGACGATCCTACGTACCTTGCGCGACGCCGGAGTCTCAGGCTCGGCCTGTTCCTGTTCCTAGGTGCTGTTCAGTATAGGACCAGTCACGGTTTGGTCGAACGACTTACAGGGCGCAAGGGTCGGGTTCCGAATCGCTCGAAGGGCGGGTCAGATAGCAGACTATGACTATCGGGCTGATCGAAGCTGGATGGCTGCATCATGGGGCCGTCTGTGTTGATACTGATTTGTGCCGGGCCATATAAGTGGAACGAACCATTTATGGCGTGCTTAGTTGAAGGTTCAACATCGACGTAGGACTCTGCTAGAGCTCGGTATCTCATGTCGTCAACAGCCTTGCATGAAGCACTGATGTGTACGAGGATGTCGGTATCTATGGGTGGATTTGCCATTGTAGTTGGTCTCCTGTGATAGCCGGTGGTGCGTAACTGAAAGGTTGGTATCGTTCCTGAGGCCCGAAGTATCGATGAACACAAGAGGTACATATATAGATGAAGATGTGGTTGACGAGTTAGTGGTCCGTGGGTAGGGGTGGGATGCAAATCTTCTACCCAAGTAACGCGAGCCCACGGTAGTTATCAAGATGGTTGTCATGATGGTTGTCATGGGACTAATTGAAGGTTGCCATGAGGATTGTGACGAGGGTTGCTGGCGATGCTTGTCAAAATGGATTCCATGGAAAAGTATAGGCTCCTCCAAGAAAAGTGTCCTCATACAGGATGCATGAAGAACACCAAGGAAACCCGGTATTGGCGACTTGGCCTGATGGAAATGGTTGACAGAGCGCGAGCTCCTATTACTGACTTCAGGGCATCACTGTACCAATGTCTTGAGGGTTTCAAGACACAGCATTGCTCATATCCTGAGAACAAGATTTGACGCTAACGGCCATCCCGTTCCAAAGAATTTTAAATTGTTGTATTTACGACGGGCCATCGTAGATAGTTCCAGGATTGGGTTCCACGCATTGTTATGAGAACCGAAAGGAATCAAGAAAATACCACTGCCTTTTGCTATATCCTCTTCTATATGCCCGTCTATCAAACGCCTCGCACCACCCTCTCCCTTCAGCGGTTTGTGAGCAGAGCAAAGCATACTAACAAGCCGACTCAATCGTTTCCGTTGACGCAATACCAGCGAGGAAGATGCAGACCTGGGAAGATGGTGTTCTTTTCTGGTTATCGATCTCGTTACCTCTGTCCGGAGGGAGGGCACATCGCCGAACTAGGTGGTCTGATATAGGGGAGGAATCACATGCTCAACACTTCCTTACAACTCGTCCACACATGCATCGGGTGTCTGAAGCTCATTGCGCACTTGTAAAAATAACAAAGGAAGAGTGCGTAATATTTATAATACAATTGGTATCCTCCTAAGTTGCCTCTCGGTGTCCGATGTAGTCACCCTCTGCCATTATCTCTCGAAAGGCCTTGTAACACAAACACCAGCCATCCCAACCCAAACCCCTATTCAATGTCCCCTGATACCCATCGTAGTGACAACCTCACCTTCCGCATCCACCCACGTACTTCCCGTGAATAAGATCCTCCTCTTGCTGGCCAAGTACAGCAAGGGGTACATATGCGGAGCAGTACGACCCCAAGAATACAGACAAAGAGACCGGAAATCCTCGTCCCTGCAACACCAAATACCCCAGCCCGCGCAACCCGTAACGATGTAATTGGCGAGAAATTCCCACGCGTCCCGTTCCGGCTTGGGGTCCATGACGAGCAGTCTAGCAGCCAGTATCCACGCTCGAAGGCGCAGAGGTCCCGCTGTTGGCTCTTGAGTCGGAACCGCCGCGCGATGTCAAGGTCTTTTGCTAGCTTCTCGAGCATAGGCGTGATGATGGTTGTTTCGGGATCTGATGAGGTGTTTTCCGTGCTACTGACTGGTGGGTCGGTGCAAAGACCCTGAGGCTCTCGTATGTGTAGACGTGTTGCGGGAGGAAGTCGACGACGACGACCCTGTCGTAGCTTGAGAGGTCTGGGATGTGTGTCTTCGGTGCAATGTCCGATTGTTGGTGACCTTGTCGCTTATCTTCATTGTCCTGTCCAACTGGGTGTGCATGAAGGGGGCTGTATGAGGACTCTGGGATTATTGAGTCGCTGATAGTCGCTGGTGTTTCCACGACGGTGCTCTCGTTACCGACTGAGGATTCCGCGATTAGGGTCTCGTTGATAATCGCTAGTGTCTCCTCGACCGTGCTCAGGTTACTGTTTGAACATTGCGGGATTATTGTCTCGGTGATAATCTCGGGTGTTTCCTCAATGATGCTCAGGAAACTCGACAGTTCAGGTCCCTTATTTCTACACCGATCGATTTGGTCGCTTCTTTCATGTCTCGCCTTTCGCCTTTTACAAGGGGGAGGTGTGCAAGGCACGATGTTCTCCGGACATGACACACTGGTGTTGAGGTGTGAGATGCTGCCTGAGGGGCTTCCTCTTCTCAGGTTCGTGGAAGCTAGGCTTTGAGATCCAGCTTCAATCGGCTCATCTGAGGCAGCAATGTGGAACTCGGACGGGCTCTCAAACTGGCCAAGGTAGTGTTCCAACAAGCGTGTCGGAGACGAGAACTCTGCAATGGCTACCGTATTGCGAGGCATCGAGTCCGGTATCTCACTAGACTGCGTGCTTCTCAGGTTTTCGTCTTCATTTTCCTCGTGACCTCCCTGCTGTATTGCAAGTGGTCGCCTGGTGATGTGCGGAGAGTCCAGATTATGCATGACGCCGTTGAATGAAGCCATGGATAGGTTGTCGAACTCGAAATGCCCGGTCGACGGAACAGCAGAGCTACTGTGATCGTTGGCCCTCCATGACTTTCATTCGACTCCTTCTCGGCTGGCCACCTACGCCATGTGGTCGAGACGGGAGGCTCGTGTTGGGTGGCCCAAATTCTATATAGGATTGGGCCAGAGCACGGTATTTTGTGTCGTCCAAGGCCCCAGATGGAGCACTGACGTGTATGAGGATTTCAGAGACCTCCGGCTTGGCCATGATGTCGTATTGCAACTGTTTTGTCGCTTGTGAATCCAGGTTGCAGGCTGTCGTCGAGCTGCGATCACTGGGGCGCGTTGAGTCTATGTGAGGTGGAATGGGGTGTGAAAGTAAATATGAACAGCTCGGACAATGGATGAGCGTCGTGCATGCGCTGTGGGAAGAGAGGGACAAAGGAGACTTGGGTGGCAGCGAAATAAAGCATTGCATGCTGGTTGCTAAGGGCAATGGTGCGTTGCCGCTCGAGGAAGATGGATTTCCTGGTCACCATGGGAATCACATAGCTAAGAGGACAATTTTGGCGGTTGTGGCAGACGATGTAGCTGGGGAAACAGCTTGATGGGACTGATTGTGATATATCTTCCTCATCTATATCTCATTCGTCTAGCCCAGTCCAGGTTGGTTAGTTGGGGGACCAGAAAATTCCCTTAGATATCTCGTTTTGTATCTTTATGATGATCTCGTCTAGATTGCTCACCTGGTTTCACTCAGGGGGGCGTCAAGTTTGGTAGCAACTTCAGTTGGTTCCAATCTCCAAAGCAATCACATCAAAGGGGCACAGTGTTCGCGGAAGTATGTAAATAGAGAAGATGACGACAGAAGCAGCCTTATTCTCGTGGTTGTTATTTGAACTACTGCCTCAACATGGTGATGATATCAAACACATTTGTGTTCGCTGAACGCGGCTAGCTAGATATCTCGAGACTTACGTACACATAGCACAAAACCCTACGACGGAATTTGCATGGCCCTCAGTCACCCACGGTGACAAAAATCAGACTACATCCCCCCGAAGGTTGTTCGCGTGATGTTGGGAGTTCCCGAATCATCGCCTCCTCCGCCCGAGTAATCATCTCCTCCGCCCGAGTAACCACCCCCTCCGCCCGAGTAACCACCTCCCCCGCCTCCTCCCCCAGTGTAGGGAGTCATCGCGCCATATGACCCCCCTGCGACTCCTCCGTACCCACCGGCAAGCCCACTGGTATAGTCATTCGCTGTATAGGGACTCATAGCGCCATATGACGCTCCTCCGCCTCCTCCGCCGCCGGCACCAAAAGTGGTTCTCGTGATATTGGCCCCTCCTCCACCTCCTCCACCAACAACATCCAGATTACCCCTATTGAATGCCGCTACTAAACCAAGACCATAATCTCCTGGACTGTTTCCGCCGCTGCCGCTACCTCCTGGCGCCGGAGCTGGGCTGGTACCAGAAGAGGTTCTTGTGATATTGGGCCTGGCATAGGTCCCGAGCCACTCTATATCTCGAGCTGAACTGGCGGACGGAAAACCTGCTGGCGCCGGAGCTGGGCTGGCGCCAATAACCCTGGGGTTGGTCCCAAGCCACTCTACGTCGGGAGCACGAGCCGCGCGGCTTCCACGGCTGGTTCTGTGGTGTACACTCCCACCATGAGTACTCGTCTTGGTCATGATGCGACCAGTTGGGGGGCGTCCCCGTGCCTGGACAATCAGTCTGGGTTCGGATTTGTAGTCATAATTCTCCGGCCTGTCCGTGCTGGGATAGATGTTTGATAGATCTGCTGTTGGTGGAGCAGTGGGAGGCCAAGGTTCTGTCCTCGGCGGAGCCTTCTTCCATCCGCGTGATGGGATGGGCATGTCTCCGAGGCCCGGGAATGGATTTTTCGCGTTATCCTCTGCGGTGCCCAAGAAACGTAGTTTGGGCACCTCGCCACTGGGAATATTCTTATCGTGTTCTTCTACCTCCCGCCGCCTTCGTGCATCTTCTGTACGATGCCATTCGGAGCTCTTCTTCATGGGGTTTTGATATCGGTACAGCTGTTTTGTTTCCCGACGGCCAAGTGCTTCGATCCTGTTCGAGTCTTCTTCGTCCTCTATCAGGCTTTGATGGCGCGAAATCCGATTTTCGGCAGCTATTCGAAATTGAGTGTACGTGCCATTCTTGACCCTTTCACCATTACGCTTCATGTTGTAATTCGAAAGCAGGTGGTCTTTCTGTGTTTCACTCATGTGATGTTGGTAATTGTCGATGCTGTCCTGATATATGCGATGCCTTCGCAACTGTTCTGCCGTCTGTGTGTCTGGTTCTTTCGAAAGCTGATCAATCCAGGGGCCGGCAAGGTCAGCGACTGCTAAATCTGTCAATCGAGATACCCTCTCTTTATCGCCCTCTTGGTGCCACTTTTGCTCCCACTCAATGTAGACGTCGTCAAGACTGCATTTTGGACATTGGCTTGCCGGTAGGTAGTCGATATCGGTCCAAGCTGTACTCGGCCCTGCTGGTTTCAACACATCACCGCATCGCTTACATGCTTGATGTTTGGGCATGGTAGGCTTCGTGTAATTTTGCCCCCGAAGAAGCGTAACTACAAGGAGATATATGAAGATAGTGTCGTTTTGGCTGGTTCGGGAAGATCGTGTGTGTCGGAGTGTACGTGGCTGTGCAGAATTTAGGGGAAGAGAGAAAGCTCCCGGGCGCGATTTCCATTTTATATTCCTAAAAATTCCCCAAAAGCCACCTTAATCTTGTTCAAACTCCATAGCGTAGACTGTGTATTTCAGGCCTTACACTGGTATCTGGTATGAGTACCGGCCCAGACGCCGTTCAGCGGCGACTCTGCAACATTATATACGCCTGTCATGCACCGTGGTGAATTCGCACAGGCGGTATAGGTACGAAGTTGAGTCACCGCAGTCTGTGTCACTAGGACGACTTAGGGAGAATATAAATTCACGAGAGATTAGGTATTGGACAGCCTAAAGATTATATGCAGTGTCAATACATCATTCGTCTCGATGAAGGTTCCCGGTTTTACGTTCATCCTGACCTTTCGAAACCCATGCAACTATGCGTCGTCTGGTTCGTTACCACAAAGCAGTGAAAAGGCTGTACCGCCTACTACATGCTCGGATCCTTCATCGTACCCTTCCACCATTTTCGCGTCCTCGTCACTGTGCTGAGCTGCAAAGCTGGTGGCAGTTTAGCAACCTGCCAAATACAGCATTATGATACTAGTAGGACTGGGCAAGGACATAATCGACAACAGCGGCGATCATCCGCCACACCTCAGACGCCTGGGTGCGGCATGGCAAGGACGCGCAGTATCACGACACGAAGCTACACAACCCAACACTGACTGACAACATGGCATTGGGCATCATCCCGACAACTACTTTCACGTCAGCCACAAGGCGAGCGCGGTTAAGGCTACCGCGAAAGCGAGAGTGGAGAACTCGGATCAGCAATCGACAAGCAGAGAGTCCACTTGGTCGGAATAATCTGGCAAGCGTGCGCGACTTCTGCCCTGCTTGTTGCGTGCCCGTCTGCCGACATCATGTTGAATGGCACGCAAGCCACCGTGGCGTCAGGGGGTGGCAGTGCATTGAACAAGGCCTGGGCCTAAGAGGGCATTTTGGGACCACGTAGTAGCGACAGAGACTTCACAACAACAGATTCAGCACCAATATACACGAATATCATCCATATGAACCATCCACGCACTGTTTGGCACATGACGGTTGACATCACCACACGGCTGGCCTGAGGCGAGAGCACTTCGACGGAGACCTGTATGGATATCTCGGGCATCTCAAGCGTGTGGCCAAGGTAAGGAACGTGTTGTTGCGAATCTATTGGACCCGAAGAAGCCCAGAGCCTCCAGGAGTGTAATCATCTGGCTCACACCGCGGTTCGATACTCGTGAGTAAGCTCTCAGAAGCTGCCGTACTCACAGACTGCCGTACTCATAGAAAGGGGTAATGCGATAGCGTAATCCTTCTACGATCTCCTTTAGTTTTGAGGACGCCTGATGGGTTGCGTTGATGTGTAGTGCAGGCTGTGATCAGCGACGGCTCCGGCGTTTGCAAACGTACGGCCGGCCACTAGAAGACTGCGCCGCCCGGAGTGGACACCATCAATGGCGTCCCTCCGCTGGTCGGTACCGCCGTTGGGCACAATACAATCGCACCCACACACAGATCGCGGCCTCTTCGAGGCTAATATGCAACCATCGGCGCGTCTCGAGCAAAAGACGACCATCGGACTGGCCCGCTGGGAGCGATATGCGAATGCGTGCGCGATGCTTAGATGTTGCGGGCTTTTGACTTCTGTGAGGAACACATCGGGATCGTTACACGGGAGTCTGTCGCTAACACTCATTGTCTGCGCCACAGCACGCCAAGTATATACGAACTGATGAGTCCCGTCGCAGTCTTTGGACGAATCCAGTTACGAAGTAGTATTGGGAACCCATAACCGCTTTCACTCTTTCCTGTAATCGACTTGGATTCGCAGCATGTATGCTGGACCCCCGCCATGCCCTGCCCTGCCCTTGAGTGAGACGCGTTACCTGGAGGTGCGTTGATTGGTCGCACGGATATTAAACTTGTATCTACGTCGTTGTCTCATCCGGAATTGGGTAGGATCCCAATGTATGCTCCGCATAAACAATAGTCGCAAATCGCATGATCCTGCATAGACGTGGAAGGTATCGGGAAAGGAGACAACAATGTCAAGAAGGGCCCAAGCACGTGGGTTGAGTGGAATTATCATTGATGTGGAAGCCAGCCTGTCGTGATCGTCGTCAACAATGTAGCATCCAACCCACTTATACAAACCGGGAAGAGGTCGTCCTGAGAGACTTCTTGAAACAATGGCAGCAAGCCTGTTTTTCAATTAGTCGATGATAGCCTAACTAGTTACCCATTCGTGTATTAAGACGGGGCAACATGTTTTATAAGGAGAGCGAAGCTCGGCCGCTTCGCATGGCGACTGGCGGGTGGCAGTGCAAGTAAACAAATTTGAAAGTCGGGTCGGCGACACGCTTGAGTCGCTTGACGCGCTGTAGAGTTTAGAGCACCACTGGCTGGACACACCGACACACTGGGGTCTTCAAATGTTCCCGGGTTCCCCTAGGCGGCCCCATTGCCCTCCGCCACATCGATTGGCCCGAAGTGGCATTCGCAATGACGATACCAACTTCTGCCAAGCCGCATGGCTGCACCATGGAATCACGGATTAACGCTATCTCCACCCCCGCCAGCTCATCTCATTCAGGAGACAGCGCAGCGGTCCAGACCTTGGAACGGCGGCCATCTCGTATAAGCATAAACACTGTCCCATGCGCTAGTGTTTGCCCAGATGGACCGTGTGGGCTGATCCAGCCGGACAGTGTGGCTTCCCGTCTTATTTAAGTACTTACACGCGACACGCCCCCCGCTGTGGTCAGGAACCCGGTTTTTGAATCTCTTCCCAGATCCGTGTCTCACATTTAGGTGCCCAGGTGCAAGGAACATTGAAAGCAAGCCACCCGCACCGGCAGTTACGCACACACCCCTCCCCTGATTTACACTTGGCTTAGGCCATCGACGATCCATCCCCTAGTGGTCTATTACCATTAGCATAGCATTTAGTTTAATTTCTCTTGACGTGCTCCGAATCAGGATCTCTCGTGCTCTCTTCTTTCCTTCATTCAACTCTGTCAATACACACTCGCTGTTGCCCTTCGCAATCCATATTCTTCCTTCCTTTTGGCAGCAACTCACTCGCTATCGTTGCTTCCAATTAGGTTATTTACTCATTCTTGTAATTCGACCATCTCCGGTCTTTTCTTGTTCACCCAGTCCATCGTTGAGCTACCGTCTGCTTGATCCACGGAACTTCGTTGCTATCTACATCGGTATCCATTGTCAGCCCAAGTCAATTCGATCTCCAGCACTCGTATCGTCATCATGCGCTCCTTCGCTCTCGCGTCCGCTCTGACGGCGGCGAGCCTCGTCCACGCTTCGCCCACGCCCACTGAAAATGAGCTACCTAGACGAGCCAGCTCTCTTCCTACCGTCACCGCCTCCGGCAATGGTACCTCCAATCCGACCACCTAGCCCGCCCACGATCCGCATGCTAACCCGTATATACAGCTTTCTGGGCCGGTAAAGATCGATTCTACGTCCGGGGCATCGACTACCAGCCTGGTGGTTCCTCGGACAATGCGGACCCCCTCGCCGACAGCACTGTCTGCGATCGAGACATCAAGCACTTTTCCGACTTGGGCGTCAACACTGTTCGTGTTTACTCAGTCGACAACTCGGCCGACCACAGCCACTGCATGCAGGCCCTCAGCGATGCCGGCATCTATCTGGTTTTGGATGTCAACAACCCCAAATACTCCATCAACCGAGACGATCCCGCCCCTTCGTATAACGACGTCTACCTCCAGAGTGTCTTCGCTACCATTGACGAGTTTCAGAAGTATGACAACACGCTTGCCTTCTTCTCCGGCAACGAAGTCATCAACGATATTCCCGCATCGGTCAAGTCCGCCCCCTACGTGAAGGCCACAACTCGTGATATGCGACAGTACATTAGCTCCAGGAAGTACCGCAAGATCCCCGTCGGTTACTCCGCTGCCGATGTGAGCCAGAACCGCCAGCAGACCGCCGACTACTTCAACTGCGGAAGCGACGACGAGCGCAGCGACTTCTTCGCATTCGTGAGTCGTACCCCTGAGCGATTGCTTTGTTACACTATGCTAACTGAGACTAGAACGACTACTCATGGTGCTCGCCATCCTCATTCACCGAATCCGGCTGGGACCAGAAGGTCAAGAACTTCACCGGCTACGGACTGCCCATTTTCCTCTCCGAGTATGGATGCACAACGGGTGCCGGCGGCCGCGACTTCTCCGAGCTGGGCGCGTTGATGAACACCGAGATGACCAGTGTATACTCTGGTGGTCTTCTGTACGAGTACAGTGTCGAAGGAAACGCATTTGGTATCGTCGAACTTTCCGGCGATTCCGACACGGTGAAGGAGGATACCGACTACAGCAAGTTCAAGTCTGCGTTGGCCAAGTACACACCCCCGAGCGGTGACGGTGGAGCCACATCCACCACCACCTCGGCCGCTTGCCCGACCATCGATGATGTCTGGGCTATTGGGACTTTCGGTGCTAGCGCGCTTCCCGCTATTCCTGAGAAAGCCGTCAGCGTAGGTTTCGATGCTCTCGTTTGCAATAGGAGACACTAATCTGTTTATAGTACATGTCCGCTGGTGCTGGAACTGGCCCCGGTCTGAAAGGTGACGGCTCCCAGAACGCCGGCGGTACTTCTACTGGGACTGCTTCCGCTGGTTCTGGTTCTGGTTCAGTGTCTGCGACCTCAACCAAGGATGGTGGTAGTGGAAGACCAGCCCCTCCCATGGACATGAGCGTGTTCGCAGTGACTGGAGTGGTGGCTTTCTTCACCCTGGTCGGCACTTTGCTGCTCTAAATGCCCACCTCATCAGGGAAACTATGCGACTACTTGGAGGAGTCTGATAATGTGCAGCAGACTCCCGGGCTTGACGCTGGACGATCTGGCGTTTTTTCAGGTCGAATTCGGCACGCGACACTTGTCTGAGGTGGACACGGTTGTCAGACCACCATTTTTGCGATCTGGAGGATGGTATCTAATGCGGATATAATCGGCAGGCTCCCAGGTGTCCCTCCTCGAAGAGGTTAGACGATAGAAGCCTTGCCGGATGCTGTACATGTGGTATTCGAGCATCGCTAATGCGCAGCTCAAGACATGCGCAGTGGTGCGATTCATCGCCTCTTCCATTGAGCTACGTACATATTCATTCAATGTATCAATCGAACACGATATTCCCAATGCTCAAACCCGGCGCTGATGTTTGGAGGTACCGACTGACACTGATCATCTCCCCTATTCCGGTTTTGGGAATGTGCCTGAAATACCCTTACTCCGCTCTGCGTATACCACAACTAGACCGTAGACTGTATGTCATCCCAAGACCGCATCCGTGATGGAGCCGCACATGTAGTGAACATCAACCGCGCGACGATACGTCGCCTGTCATCCTTCGAGCGCCATGCAGAACCCAAAGCACAAATTGAGAGGTTGTGCCAAACTCCGCACCAGTTGGGGCCTGTAGACCCAGCCACAGCGATGGCCAACCTTCCTCTTCCGACGTCGGAACGTACGAGCACATCGTCAGCAAGGCGGAAGCCTGCATGTAGGCAACTCCCCTTCTCTTTATCTTTGTTAGTAAACGAACCCGCTGCATGGAGAGCGACTCTGAAGTTGACGGTGAGCTTCCTGGGTGGTAGACGGGATGTTGTCTAGCCACCGACACCAGCAATCTGCATACTGACGTTTCAATATTTATGCATCACGAAGACCCTTCACGTGATCATGCGAACGAATATGGCAAAATCGTTAAGGCTTCACCGCCCTCTGGAGGAAGGTCGGTCTCTCCGTCAGTGGTGGAGATCGGCCCCTCTCTGTTGGGCGCTCCTAACGCTTGAACCACTTGAGAATGGGTCGGAGTGACTTGCGAGCTTGACGAGCAACGTGTAGGTGGTTTGGCCATGAAGGCGTGAGATTTGTCGATCACTGCACCGCCCCCAGGATCGTGTCGGTGTCAGCCGGACCTGACTTTCTGCCCCCCTTTCTTTACTTGTCTACTCTGAGTGCTGGCGGTTTCCTGATGAGTTCGGTCACGTGACTATCGGTTTATCGTTTTGCAAGGTGGTTTCAGACAACTCCTGGCCGTCCTCCTTTCTGGGACTCGTCTGATCGCCTTTCCCCCTTTCTTTCTTTCTTGTTCTCCTGGAGAAAGAGTTGGCGCAGTGGAAGGTGGTGTGTCTATTGACGTGGTCTACCGTACAAGATGGTTTATTGTTACATGAACTTTGGCTGGCACATTCCCAGAACTGGGACGCCCGGCCATGCGTAGACGCCTAGCGCCTGGATACCTCCTCCCACCCACGGTATTGTCTGTAGAGGCTGAACCTGTCCTTAATTCCGCTGCATAGGTAGTCTATCCAATAGTCGAAGGTGGTCTTCCCACATGGAATTAACAGGCATGTGTCCACGCATAAGAGCCGGTGCATACACCTCCTGACTATAAACCCTGCTGACCACCAATTCATCCCTCTTCAAGCTATAGCACCTCTTTGCCGCAATGCGAAATAAGGCATTTTGACGTGGTGAACCCTTTACACACTTCTCACCGCTAAGGCGTTGATGCTCAGTGAGGTATACCGTTGATGGATCTAGTCACCGTCCGGGCATCTGTGACGAGCCGTCTAGCCTATAAGGCTAAAGGGTTCTATAGGGTTTATGTTCTGAGGTAAGTCAACACAAAGGACAATAGAGGCTTCTGTCAACTAGAAGACACTCAGATGCTGGGGCTTGGTCTGATCCAGGGGATCACTGTATAGTCGAGTCGTCAGGAGATTTCTCCCACCTTAGGGTTGGCTAAGATGCTTAGATTGATCACTGAGGTAGAGACTGTCTACCTGTCTAGCTAGGAAATGTCCATCCTTATATATCCAATCTCTCCTTCACTGATGGGGTGGATATGTTGGATAACCTCGCTATCCAAACTATTCATCACGTGATGTCTTGATCACGTGACCTAGACGTTTCCTTGGCCCGTGCGTTCTCCCGGGTTCTTCCAGTTACTGTCCATCTTGTTGGGCCTGCCAGCGGGCCTCATTCCCTGTACGCCTCGTTGGTTCGTAACAGCATCGTACCTTTCCCCTTTGCGAGATATATTCAAATGTGTGCCGGCTGGCTCTGCCCATATGCCGTGCCGGCTGGTCAGATGTGTGTATCTGACTCAGCCTCCTCTTTCGCCGTATCGCCAGCACTGGTAGACGAGTCCATAAGCCGCTGTACCCCAATCACTTGGCTCGAGAGAATGCTTACCAAACATCAGGGGCCAGAGTTGGTATCAGGTGCTGCAAGTATAGTGTGCACCTGGGGGCGAGGCTGTCAAGTGGTAGGCTTGGTCACTGCGCGTCGGGGTTTCAAAGTGGATGAACCTAGGTAGGCAGTGTGGCACCGTCAGCAATGGCGAGGATCGACCAATCGTGACTTGCCCGGTTAGCGGAAAGCGACGTAGGTAGGGGGCAGGAACCGCCCCTAGCTTGTGGCGAGCGGTATGGGCGGGAAAAGGGGGGTGGGGAGGAGTGGTCTCTCATTGGCAGTTCACATCGCTGACCCCGCGACGCTCGTGGAAGGCAGAACGGCTGAAGGGAGCGAAGTATTGTTCCCTACCGAGGTGAGGAATATTCTTGACCGACCTTGCTGCGGTGACGCAGAGGCACGTGTATTGAGTGTGGCCTGACGCATTTCCCATTCGCCACGCGGCCCAGAAGGCCAGGCATCGAGGGGGGCAGGGCATCGAGGTGTCCTTGATGGTTCGCGACTCACGTCTGCCTTGAGAGAAAATCTCGCTAATACAAATTTTGGCTAGAATTGGGTGTATGTTGGGCCGCCTGGCAGTTTGCCCATGTATGCGAGAGAAGTCATGCCTGTTAGGTTCCATGTTTTCCCCCTCCAGCAGCAATGGCTTGATGTTACCGTAGCCTTATCGCTTTTCTCATAGCCTGCAACATAGAGTGTTACTACACGGTATTCCTCGCCAAGATGGGAGCGACCGTGTCTCGATGCTAGCCTATTATACATGCTGTCTAGTATATGATCGTAATCTATAGATGATGTCCTTTGAATGTCGTGTGAACGGTGTATATTTGGGTCCAACAATCGATCCAGGTTGGGTGATCGAGGTGGTCCATGACCCGTAAGGCTTGCCTACCCTCACAATAGAGCGGCGACGATCGAGCCTTTGCAGCAAAATGCAACCTTTCTAAACGAATCCGGACTCCACCGTTAATGTCACCCACCGTTGTGACCTTGACTCGGAAGGGCTTACCAACACAACGGGTCGCGCGCCAGTGAGGTAGACTTGACTCGACTCGACCACGACTAGCCACTCCCTATGCCAATATGAGCTCGTCCTGAGGCATGCAACCGAACGTAATCCGCGCGCCTGTGTAAGTTACGGAATCTGTTTTTTCTTTCCTTCTCCGTAACTCAAACGACAAACGAGTTCCCCTCGCAAGTGTGCGATGCTGTCTTGCAATCGTAGGGGTCCGTACAATTGTCGTACGTATCGCAGTACCAACCCGGGCATCCCCACCTGCACGTCTCGAGCCACGTGTGGGAATCATTAGACAACAGAAGAAGCTCGACCCTATTTGTCGGAGCAACGGATGGCGCAGATGTTACCGGACCTGTGGTCGTCACCATGGTTGTGTCGAAGGGTGTGGATGTCGCTTTGCCGGCGGAACGATCGGAAGACGAAGAAGTTACCGATTCGGACGATGGGCTGGTGATCTCTCCTACAGGCAGAGATGAAGTCCAGGTAGGCTGGATCGACGATTCACTGCTAGCCTACGTTAGGATGCGTTCGAGTAGCCTTGTTCCAGGCAGAACTCACGGGGTAGAACCGCTTTGGGAGCCGATCACGTCCAGGCCTTTGAGGACGACCACGATGATGATGATGGCGATGGTCAGAGCAGTGACTGCCCAGCAAATGATCCATATCAGTTTCTTCTGCCGTATCCGGTGGCCCAGAATATTGTATGATCTCGAGTCGTTGTGGGACCTGGTGCCGAGCTCGTTCTTCGCCCCTACGTGGTCTGCTTCAACATGACTGTGGCTAAACCCTTGACTGTTCTGGTTGGCCATGGCGTATAGCGAAATTTTGTCGTGGACAATTCAAAATGATGGTTTCTGCAGAAATGTCGAAGTGCGGACAAAATGAGAAGGAGAGGCCGCACGCGTTTCGATGCTGTAGACCTTACTCTGTCATGATTAGGGGCGGGACAGCTCCTATCTACACTGCCTTCCCCTAGCGCGCGCCGACCTAGTTTTCACTGCGGCTGACTATTTCTACTGCGGCTGATAAGGTTCAGCTCGGGGATGGATTGCGAGTATCAGTTATTTTTGAAACATTCACCGAACCCCTATGGGCTGCGTTGGTGTTTGCGAGGACACCGTGTGGAGTCCAAGTCCGCAGCAGAGAGCAGACTGCAGACAGCAAAACAAAATTATATATGCCCTCACGTTCGGCTTCGCCAAAGGAAAGCGATAGATAGCCGCAAATTCACGTCTGGATTGGAACCTCGGAGGTCAGAAGGCCGTAGGCGAATTGTTTGAATGCATGAGCGCCTGCGGCCTGGCGTTATCCTCTCAGACGGTAGTTGGAGTTTGAGGCTCCAATCCAGGTAGATCATTCCGTTCATTTGCCGCGTTTTCTACTTCTAAGGATGCAATGCAGCAGGCCCTAAGGCAGGCTCTAGCAACTTGAAGACCCTGTTCATGCTGTGTAACCACACAAAGCGCCGTCGGGCGTAAGGCAGCCTGGTGACCAGACTATACAAGGCGATCAATGAGAATCCAGCAGTCAGACGAGGCAACCAGGCAGGGTCCTATGAGAATCCTTAATCCCATGAAGATGGCAGCAGCTCGATATTGCGCTCAACCGTCGCGTTTATCATATTTAACGAGGGATGGAAGTCTTCGGCGCAATCGCCAGCACCGTGCAACTGGCTTCAGCTCTGACGACCCTCCTCACCGTCATCCAAGACATCCGCGATGATTTCCGAGTGATACGTCAGCGCACTGTTGAAAGACAGAGCTACCTCATGTCACTAGCAGCCGTTCTATCTATAATCCAGCGGTCACAGTCACAAGACTGGGCGAAGCTCGAAGAGCCCCTCCAGGCCGTACGAACCAAGCTTGAGGAAATCCAAAATCTCCTAGACAAGGTCTCACAGCGCAGCACCGCATCCTTCCCTGTACGTCTGTGGCGAGTTCACAGTTTAACTCGGGCTGAGAACGCCATCTCGAGAAATTTCGTTGTTCTCAACCAGGAAAAGACCACCCTAATCCTCTACGTCGCCAGCATTCAGGGTTGCACGCTACTCCATACTCAACGACTCGTCACCCAAATAGAGTCAAAGATCATGGCTGAGAAACCCTCTAGTGCATGGGGAGCTGGGGCCCAAGCGCCTTATCCGACTTCGGACCAGGAAAATAAGACCGCAACCGGAGTACGCAGCGGTCGGTTCAGAAGACACAGGAACAATGTTGTTGACGTGATCCATCCCGAGGACGATTCAGACATCGATTCAAGAGACATACGACAGTTCACTCCCCGCAACAAGACGACCGAGCAGCGAGGACTTGACTTTCTCAGCACCCCTAGTCTTCAGCGATCAGAACTACAACTCCATAATCCCAGTAACCAAAGGAACGAGGTTCGAGACATGGTACGCAGGAACCCAAGTCCCGCACCCGAGTCTTCTCCATATCCATCGGAAGACGAGCCCAACCAGGAGGAAGAAGAAGATGACAACCCAGCTGGACGCGGCGGCCATGCCCCGAATCCCGGGCCTACACCAACCGGTTTTCACAATCAGCAAAGGCCAGGAACTTACGCTTCTTATTCCACATTCCGCGTGACTGGTCGCGTTGGGGACGAATACCGTAACGCGCCTCGCGGATTCAGACTTGGGACATCGCACGGACCCGGCTTTCATATCCACGCCACCAATGTCCATGCAGCCAACCAGGGCAACCTCGTGGATTTCGCTTGTGAGACCGCGCTGACGCCGGGAAATCGGAACCACGACAATGATTGGGCTAGGAGTGGGCCAGGACCAGGTGGCAGGCAATGGGATCACAGGGTTTCTTGAGGAGTTTGCAAAACACAGCAGACGCCAGGGTGAAGGATAGAACGGCGAGGGTAATTGCTCTGATGGCTCGACCCAAGTATGTCGGAGGTGGGCATTGGGTCCAGAGACTCTCTTTTGTGGTCCTTTTATGTCAGAAAGGAAGCTGGTGTCCATTCCTATAGAACACTCATTTGTTGCTATCCTGTTAAGGACTAGCATACGTGCGCATTACCAACATTCGTTTTCCAACAGCTGTATGGCGTGGAACAGGGGTATCATATGTCAAAATCTTTATTCTGATCTCGAAGTCTAACATGCCACACTCAGCCTGGGCGATTCTCTTATGCAGAGAAGAACGTTCGATATTCATTTCGGTGGTCCATAATGACACGGACGACTCTACCACTTTGGAAACTCGAATATCGGCCGAAGCCTTTCTTCTGTGCTCACACCCGGTCGACCCCCGGCGCACCCAGGAGCACACTAGTATAAATCCATACAAGACTCTAACGCTATAGGTCCGAAAGCCCGCAGTCCCGTGTTCGTTTCCTCTGTGATTCTCTCCTTCTCTGAACGGTTGATCGGCGGTTGGAGCACGCATTGTATCCCAATAGAGCAGGGCCATATCCATCCCGACTCAATCCCATCGGCCACTGTGGTAGTTGCAAATATACCGATGTGTTCTCTTGACATCTGGAAGGCTACGAAGGTCTTCGAGTATTCTGGCGGTGTCCTTCGCGCCCAGGTCCACCACAAGTCGCTGTGGCTCAAAGGCCTCGAACACACACCCATCTGGCTCTAGGCTCCTATAATATTCGTTCATCCGCGGCTCCTCGTCCAGGTACGTCGGGCCGGCGATGAGTTGGCTCCAGCTCGTGAAGATCAACACCTCTTCGCCTCCCAGTGGCTGCAGGAGGTTGGTGGTGTAGTCGGTCATGCATCTGTCGCATGAGCGAATCTTGCCCAGTGCCTCGTGAAAGGGTCGTTCTTGGGACCACTTGAAATGTTGACAGGCGCCGTCGAAGTCAGCAGCGAAGAAATCATGCGACATGCTCCCGCCTCGATGATAATACCATGCCGACTGCGTTCGCAGTACGAATTTTCCATCAAAGACGCGGGCTTTATAGAAGGCGCGCCCGTAGCGGAAGTGGCCGTGGGGGCTGGTGATAGGGCGGCTGGTGTTCACGTTGGTCAAGGTGTAACGGTAGTCTTGACCAACGGAGGCGCGCAGGATTACCGCATCGATGACGACCTTGGGAATCTTCCAAAAGCTCCGGGGGCGCTTTATGCGACAGATCCATTCATATGAACATAGACTTTGCGCGTATGGGTTGTATGGTTCCAAGGGCGAATGGATTTTGCAGCAAAAGTAGCAAGCGTCTTGCTCGTGCAAGTCCCGCGACAGCAGCTGTAGCCATCTGTACCAGGAGCTAAGGTCTTCGTAAATGTCTCTGTAAAGGTCGCTGTGCCGAGATGCCCCATGGTGGTTTTGCTGCACATCGTCAATGCGACCTTGCTCTCGATCGGCAGGTGGCCTGCGATCATGCAAAACAACTCGGACGGAAGGCTCTCCAGGATTGTCGTCATGATTGCAGTGGTTCGGAAGGTATGTCGTAGAAAAAGGTGTTGTATTTTGGGGGAAAATCTGGTGACAGACAAACTCCCTGATAGCAAGCGCTGAGAAGTGCTAAGTTATTGGCGCCTGGTGAGCAACAGGTCGAGAAAAATCACGAAGCCAGAGGGGAACGATTGGGCTTCGCTAGCATGTTGCAACCGGGACACACCTTGATTCATCGGTCTTATGTTTCGTAATGAATGAATCTCGACATCGTTTGAGAATCGAGGCTCGCGTTGTTCCCTTGTTCCCCCGACTTGAAAAATACATGTAGGTGGCTATTTTTTTCGATTATTCGTGGCGCAATTCGGCGAAACTTTCAGCTGCGCTTATGGGCAGAATCTACACACCGCCACACTCTCAATCCCTTTAGTGTCAGAATACGTGCTCAGTGGCGTGTTATGGGCAGTATATTGGTCATCCTATGGGATCACCTGATAGTTAGCTCTCAGAGGTCACCCACAGTCATTTAAGTAGACAAGTACCCCCTTTAGTATCCCTCTTCTGTAAATACAGCCCATCAATGAATCTGACACTCAGCTGTTACTGGGTGGCATTAAATGAAGGTTGTCTTGTTGACTCATGAGGTGTGCTTCACCAATCTCATGTTGAACAGCACACAAGCCACCGTGGCGTCAGGGAGGTGGCAGTGCTCTGATCAGGGGCCATTACAGTACTTTGGGGCCACCAACAGAGACTTCACAACGACAGAATTATCAGAATCAGCACCAAACACATAAGTATCAACCATATGAACCATCTACGCACTGTTTTACATCTCAAGGTGTCTAGAAGCCGTGATCACAGGCTAAGCGCACAACCAAACAACAACTGGTTGCCTTGAGAACCTCATTTAACAGGTCGGAGGCGTTCAAAATGAAGTGGGTGGTTTATTTGGTATATTGTTTCACTTCGCCGGTAGTCTTCATACCAGGTTGGGGACGTACACTAACCACCGGTACATCTGTCGACACCACTGAGCCTCCTTCGTGACACTGGCCACCTGCATGACAAGTTATGCTCCCAGCCGCACCTCCACATAAGTTGGGAAGCTTACGTTCGCTGCAGAGGCGTACACATAGAGCGACATGCACGTATGCTTGTATCGTAAATATATACATTCGTACTTCAGTACTCTTCCTACTGTTCGTATGATACGGGGAGTATAATCGTCCGAGTAACTAAGCCTGGAAACCAATGAACCACGGATCTCGGTGTTCCTGATGTCGATTCCTCGAAGTAGCAGAGATACATCATGCGTGGATGTCGAGTTGCGGCCCTTACGAAAAGCGAGGGGTATTGCTGGAACGCAGAAGACTAGTCCCGCGGTCGTGGTCTCGGCAAGGCCCCATATCAGGTGCCTGGAGTACGCGTAGGTTGTGTCGAGGTTGTAGGTCAAGTTGACTGCGGAAGCAACGCGACCGGCGGCACAGACGCAGGTCCTGGGGGCGGCATTAACATAATCAAGGATCGTGGGAGATACGAGCACTTCGATAGGGGCTGCGACGTACACAATGCCAACTGAGAAGATGAAGGAGATACCAATCTTCTGCCGCGTTGACAGCGCCAACCTCCATATCACCCGATGCGGGAGCGACAAGATGAGGACGTCGAATATCAGGTTGAAGATCGAAATGAAGAGATTGAAGGCGTTGATGTTGATGCACGTTCCCGGTATCCAGCGGCGCCAAATCCGCTCTCGAGGAACACAAGTGAGGTTGAGGGTGATGACTGTGATAGCATAGAATAACGAATTGGCCCAGACCATGGCGTAACATATCCAAAAGAACCTGTTGCGCGTTGATTTAGGAACAAATATCCGGATCCATTCGAGGAGGATGGACGCCTTGATGAACGAGATAGCAAAACAGTAGAGTATCGTTGTGATAAGATAGCACTGTTATTTGTGAGCTGCTCGTATCTTTTAGCGTAGGTAGACCATGTTACACTGACATATACAAAGTGTTCCAAGCCGCTCAGTCGAAGGTCCCACTGGTGGACGAACAGGCCAGTCCTGTGAGTCATGGTGGCCAGAACAGTCGTGGCTCCGATATAGAACGCCTGGTGATCAAGAGTCAGCATGATGTAAGCCAAAGACCCCTAAGACGGACATATGCCAGAATTCCTAGGTCTAGGGCTCGCCAGGTCAGCCAAGTACTGATTTGATAGGGGTCCTCCGACTCACAATCCTCGACCCTGACTCTCCTGAGGTAAAATAGTCTCGTGTAGGCTCGGATTAAAGACGCAATGCTTATCAACGATATACACACAGCGATAACTGCAAAAACAAGCCCATTTTGATTGGGAGGGTTATCGAAGTCAGGCACAACGCCTGCAGGAGGCGCCAAGGCAGGGCAATACAGGATATCTTCAGACTGAGCAGACTGGGAGGAAACCCCAGAATCCGGCATCGGGATCATAAATGCAGCCTGGAACTGGTGTGAGAAGGACACTAAGGTAGGTCTTGACACTCAGATTTAGATTCTTCGCTTCTGCTTGGTGGGATTGCGAATCCCATGAGGAAGATCACGCGCCTCTTATATGGACTTGTGTGAGGTGTCACGGAAGTACATTCATTGTTCGAGCATTCTTGGAGTTTGGTGGGTTGTGCTTCCAACATCAGCAAGATGGAATGCATCCGGAGCAGTACTGGGGAGTGCATTGATGTCCTGATCACCTAGAACTAGTAAATACTTATAAGGAGACCAAATGATTCTTCCGCGTGGTTGCTTCAACGCCCTGGAGAAAGACACCAGGCACTAACACTTAAGCGTCATCATACCTGGCGCGTTACCACGTCCTCGGGTGTAATATAAGCGAGGATAGTACTATCAAGATCGTGGCAGACCGCGCAGCTGCAGGCGATGGAATGTGGGAAGCAGAACCAGACCTTTCAGTGAGGCTGTTCAGGGCAACAAGTCTGCTGTTGTTACCAAAGCGGTCTATGACGAAGCAGAAGAACCCCTGTACATGGATGACGTTCCAGTTGTGGGCTGTTGGGCGTTGGTCATGCAGGAGCATTGCAGAGACGTGCGTGACAGCGAAGGCGGCATAATGTTGAAACTGATCTAGCCACATCGAGGGATTGCGAGGCATTCAGCTCGTCTCGATGTGCGGCAGACCCTGGCAATACTGGTGCGTGTTGCTTCATCATCCTGGGAACGACCCAGTCTGTCGGGTGCGCGAAGTCCGTTCGTGGAATGTGCTTGTGCATATGTTCGAAATCCGATTGGCTGTGTCACATCAGACGTGTCCATTGCTAGGCGCGCACATGAACATGGGTCTGTACGGCCGCATGGTGATGACCTCTTGATTTGATTGATTGATTGATTGATTGATTGTAATTAACGTAGGGAATCGCTCCTCAGTAGTGCAAACCACGCCTCCCAGAGCCTCTGCATCGCAGGGTTGTGGAGGTATCAAGATAATAAGTACAGTCAGTCCCGCTCACGAGCCCATCCCCGTTATTGCGGCTGTATGACTCTGGGGTCATCCATCTGGTCCTTCAAGAACAGCTCTCTATCGGGGGCAGATTGATGAAAAGAACTTGCTCTTCTCAACAAATCTTGCCCATTCCGCGCTCCTCTCCCCCAAGTAACCTCTTGATTTGAGTGCAAGTGTGACCACATCAGCATTGCATTCCAACGACGGGAATCAGATCCTGGCTTAAGCGAGCTCGCCAATTGACCAACAACCAACAGCGCCAACGCAGGCCCCTGAATCCGGGTTGTTGGGTTTCTCCCCAGGCATGCCGCTCGATAGTCGGCCACACGTTGTCCGCAGTCACGGATTCAAGCTCCCTCGTCTGAGAGCTTGCCAAGTCGGATCTTCCAGACAGCCATGAATGTGCATGTAGCTCCGTTGTCAGCAGCATCGTCACCAGCCTGACTACAGTATCGGTCAAGAGGCGATGTTTGAGGGACAGCTGCCCGTAGTGGTTTCCCAGAGACCTAGAGTAGAACAGAAACGTATTCATGATTAACATTCTAAAATATAGTCCTGGCTTTAACTTATACGTCCCACGTCCAGCGCACGACCTCGCACATCTAACCTAGTAGGCTCGCAGTATGTTCTTCCCGGAATTCGGCCTCCTCTGGATGACGATATGATCTTCCAATGGGCACCCACTGCTCAAATCACAAGCTGCTTCTTCTTCCACATCAAGAGGGTAAACGGAATCTGCAAGGCAGCCGAAACACACAGAACAAGGATCTGTCGATTGTACCCTTCGCCGAGTGTGTACCGGACCTGATCTTGCAGCGCTTGAGGCAGCGAAGCCAAGGAAGCCCCCGACTGGATGAGAGAGTCCGAGTCCGAGACACCTAGAAGTTTCTGAAGGATTGGTCGCGTATAGGTGTTGAAGACCGAGGTTGAGATTGCCAGGATTACAGCACTGCCCATCATTCTGAACTGGGCGCCAGCACCCATGCCCGAAGCTGTGGTTTGTTAGATAGGGGTATGGAGTTAGCAATGGCAAGACTCACCGCGATCGCGTCCCTCAATCACCCAAGGGATCATGATGAAGAGTAGCGAGAAGTTTATCCCGCAGCCCCATCCAGTGATGATCTCGTAGCCATACATGCGCGCAGGTATGTGGAGAGTCGAAGGTAGTGTGCCTAGCAAAGCGAACCCGATGATTTGGAGACTAGACCCTAGCAGGACAAGGTACATTGGGGGGACCTTCAGTTTGCCTGCCAGAATAGATGCGAAGATTGAGCCAGCCGCAATGGTAATCGTGAAGGGTATGAGCCTAACGCCAGCGTCGAGACCGGAGATCCCGTACACCAGCTCGTATCTCTGAGGGATGATGAACATGCCAATGATGGTAGGACCGCCCAGGAAGAAGAAGTTTCTTGGTCATTCGCGTTAGTTGATGCTTCATCGATGAAACAGGTGGTGGAGGGATCGGGCGCTCACAATAGTATGCCTATCATCTGCCGGTTCGTAAGGAACCTCCAAGGCAGCACAGGCTCTCGGATCTTGTCCGAAATCGTTACGTACCGCTCCCAGAGGACGAGGGCAATCCACAGAAGTCCCGCCACGGTCAATAAGGTGATGACGTACGCAGACTTCCAAGGAAACTTCTTGTCGGCCTCCTCGAAGCCAGCTGTCAGAGCCAGCGTTGCACAGAGGATGAGAGCAGTCCCTGGAATATCAACACGATCAAGCGTGGCCTTCGACAACAGATGCTTCATGCCCATTGGCTGGCTACTGAGTCGGCCGTGGTGCGGGAAGTCTTTGGGAATAGCGAGCAATGCCACCACGAAGGCGGGTACTGCTATTGGAACGCTGTTGCTCGAAATATCAGTACGTCGTGGGTGGTGTGATAGGGGAAGCAGCTAGACGGACTTGATGATGAAGATCCACCTCCAGGTGGTGTGAGTAGCTATCGCGCCACCGATGATGGGCCCTAGCAAGAGCGCCAGAGCATTGGAGAGCGATATGTTGGATACAAACTGTGTATAGCTCTCCGCAGGAACGAGCTCGGTAATCAGGATCGTGCAGAGGGAGAAGCAACCACCACCACCAAGGCCCTGGAACGCCCGAAAGACAATCCTGTCATATACTATCAGCATGCGGTACGTAAGGGAAAAAGCGGACGGGCAACTCACAGCTGTACCATGGTCTGTGAAGCAGCGCAAGCCGCAGAAAAGATGATGAACCATGCGATGGAGAGCAAGAAGACCAGCTTCCGACCAAAGATGTCACTGAACTTGGCGCAAATAACAATGACAGCTACCGAGACGCGTAAGAGGGTGACCGCAGGGTTGAGCACCGATGACGCGACTGACCTACGTATCCAAGCAAGTAGCTAGCGACGACCCAGCCGACGCTGTCGAAACCACCCAAGTCATCCGTGATGGCAACCAAAGCCGTAGTCACGACGGGAACCTCGAGGTTCGTGATGAACATCATTATCGCAATGCTATTGAATAATCAATCACCCATATAACACCGAAAGGGGCCAGGATGTTGTACGATATAACGATGGACCAGAATTGAGCACCTTGAAGATAGACCATCTTGTTCTGGTCTTTAGACGGTATCTGTCGTTCGTCTACCATATCGTGTTCTTCTTGCTTTATGCTCGGTCTTTCCTCCGAAGTCTTATCGGAGGAACGGCCACTGAGGCCGGGACCTGTATCAACAGCCATGACCGCCAGGCGTGTTGAGGAGTACAGTCAGTTCTCAAGCGCGACGACTTCCTATGTTCAAACGAAAGCCAGGAATCAAGACTAAAAGAGAAAGGGGGATGCGAATCGGCTATGGATTCAAGTCGGGGTTTCCCCAGAAGCGAGATGCCAGTGGCAAAGATATGGGATGGGAGCACACATCACAGAAGGACGAAAAGATTACCATCATTGTGCTGGTATTTCCTGCGCCGCCAGCGAGAGATGAGCTGCTTCCGCGAGTGTAATGTACCGACCAGGATTAGCATGCGCCGCACAGGGGTATTCCGCCAACGGGAATAATCCTTGATCCTGACCATGCACGCACAGCACACACCTGTCACATCAGCCTTATTATTGTGGTCGGGGGCTGAAAACCCCAGCCGCCATTATGGGGCCATTTCGAGGAAAGGGGTCGGTGTGACGTAGGTATACAGCTTCGGCTTCTGCCTGATGACCTAATCGAGAACAGCTTAGCACAGAGGTCAACCTTACAAACGCATGTATCGATCGGTTTCGGATTACATGACAGCCAGGTTGATGCCCGGAATATACAGCTGAAGTTCTAGTGTCTTACCTGCGTCTCAATACGACGTTGTTACTGCTAAGTATATCACGACAGCGGACATGTGTAAGCTTACCAATAGCTGAAGCGGAGCGGACTAACTTATTCGCTTACATACAGCATGCTGCAAGCCAGGTACCACCGCACACATTCCTACCATGTCAGCATTGGGGCCAACAACTTCGCTCCCGCATATACAGGCGTTGTAGTTTCTTGATACTCCATACCGTGTCCAGACGGGTCCGTCCTCCTATCAGGGCCCTGGCACTACAGGTAGCAAGGATGGTAATGGTTAGCGGTTCCAGGGTATGGTTCTGAATCCAATATGATGCCTGTAATTCCCATCCTCATATATACCCGTTCTTATTATTAAAAAGTTCCATTAAAAAGTTCTTATCACATAAAAGTTCTACCTATTACCATTGTAGATACACGTGGAACCGCTAACCATTACCATCCTGGACACCTGTAAGCAGGGGTTCTATTCTGAAGTACCGCATCTCATGGAAATTAATCGGAGCAGGGGCCATGCCAGAAGTTCTCGACCAGGCAGCCAGAAAGGGAACTACTGCCTGCGACCACGCTTCGTACGTTGGGGTCCAGTAATATGTTGGCCGTTTCATACCAACAGCGCTTCTTAGCCTCAATCCCCACTATCATTTTGTTGGTTCGGGTGGCTAATCAGGTGTCGATATGGGAGAAGGATGTGCCAAACTACGTAAGCGCAACGTCCGAGAACGAGAAGGACTTGACCGCCCAAGAGGACGACTTTGTTTGACGAGTGCGGAAATAAGGGGTACGCCATGGAACGGGACGAACAAACGGGCTTCGGCTGACAAGCAGGATGCTCATCCCGGCCCAATCTGTCAGATCACTCCCATATGGCCAGGGTGGACATTGAGGTGCAGATCCGATGTTCTAAAACGGTGGTCTGGAATCCTATTTCGGTCATCTACCTCCCTCGCCACATGGATGCGTCCGCGCTACTGGTATGATGGCTGAAGAATGAGGACTTCAGGGCCGACTCTTTTGGACACGGTTACATGTGATCGAGGCTCGAGCTTGAAGATAAATGCAGGTTCATAAAGAACTTAAAGGCATGTCGTTTCCATTGGCTGCACCCGGGTACCAGCCGATTCATTCCTTCAGTTCATCACACATTGTTCTTTCCCGATTCAAGTCACTTTATTATATTGCTCATTTCATACTGTGACGAAGTCCAGACCATGTATTCGCTCATTCACCCTACCATGTTGGCTGGAACATATAGTATCTGCATTCTCATTACATACGTAGGTGTGCCCTCAACCCATTTTCGAGACCATGGTTAACGTGCGGCAAAGTGTGTTCTTCTCGGCGTCTACCGCATTCTACTTCACCCATTGCGTCGGTATCCAGGGCCCATTTCAGCTAGGCTTTCTGGTCTTTACGGCGCCTACTATGCTTATAATACCAACCTCCATCGGAGAACATGGCAGGACCATGTGGACTATGGTGAGAAAGCTTGCCTCGTCGTCGACAGCGCAATAGCTGACCCGGCCTGCTTCAGGTTCAGTAGTCAGACAGGGACCCAATAAGCTCGTGTTCAACACTGTGCAAGCTCTTCATGGTAAGGCCTCACCTGAGATGATTCCCGACGCAGCCGCTGACCGACATAGACATCTACAGAAATGAAAGGTTCACGAAGTCTCATGCTTATCTGGTCGGGTCGAGCGAGCCAGGTGTCTACGGCATCTTCAACGCCATCGACAAGCAACTCCACCAGAGGAAACGCAACCTCGTCAGTCGGGTCCTCAACGAGCGGTCGATGCGATCGTTCGAACCCATAATGCAACATCAAGTCAACATCCTCGTGCAGCAGCTGCGGCGGTCATGCGATGGCAGTCAACCAAGGCCGGTGAATATGACGGAACGGTTGAAGTACCTCGCGATGGACATCATGGGCCAACTTGCCTTCTCATTTCCTTTGAAGCTCCAGACCGAGACGACACATCGCTCTGTTGTCGCCTCGAAGGCCCATTTCTACCTCAATCTCGGCATGCAGCTACCCTTCCTGGGCACACTTAGCCTAGTGAGGTTGCCGTTTTTGCGCTCTCAATTCAGGGGTGGAAGCTACTTCAAGAGTTTGGAGACCATGCTTCGCAGCCGTATTGCAGGTCGAGACAACAAGCAGGACTTGCTGTACTTGACGGACAGGCTATCAGTATCTGAGGATGACGAGGTCTTGCTTCGTGAGATGGAGTCCGAGGCAGTGTTTTTCCTTTCAGCAGGTACGTCTCCATTCCCAGGGGCAACACTTTCCGGTGCACTCGCTCACATGAACTCGCATGGGAAACAGGAAGCGATACAATATCAACGACACTGTGTGCCGTGTTCTTCTATCTCTCGAGGAACCCAGAATGCTATCGGAAGCTTACACACGAGATCCACTCAACTTTCAACAGCGAAAGCGATATCCGCAACGGTCCACAGCTCACCAACTGCCATTACATGCGCGCATGTATCGACGAAGCCCTGAGGATGTCTCCACCACTCCCCGGGACCCTTTGGCGCGAGGAAGCTTTCGAGTACCGGAATGCGGCAGAGCCTTTCATGGTCGATGGCCACATCGTGCCCCGAGGCACGCAGATCGGAGTGAACGCATACGCTATGCACCACAACGAAGAGTACTTCCCCGACTCGTTTACCTACAAGCCGGAACGCTGGCTGCCGGACAGCCCGGAAGCGGCCCGGAATAACAGGAATGCATTTGCGGCCTTCTCCACTGGCTCTCGGGGATGTGTAGGGAAAGCTATGGCTTACCTGGAGGCCAGTCTCGTCGTGGCCAAGACACTGTGGTACTTCGACTTTGAACAAGCATCAGATACGGCCGAAACTGTGGGGGGTCCGACGCCGTGGGAACGGGAGAACGGCGAAAGGGGGACGGAAGAGTTTGAGCTACGCGACATGTTCGTTGCTGACCATGATGGACCACATTTGGTCTTCCGTCCGCGGCAAACAAATATAGGTGGCGACTTCGGCGCAAATAGAGACGAGAAGACTAGTAGTCTATGAGTTGCACGGCCTAGATATAGAGAATAGAGACTCCCTAATAGGACATCACACTGTACGATCTCAAATTGCAAGCCGCCGGACTGGCGGTATCACAAACGGGCGGTAACACGTACGGTACCAGCCTAAGAAGCCGAACCAAACTCCACCGCATTGTTCATCACATGAATGTGACACCAGATAACGTTGCGTAGCGTTGTGCAATGGTCATCGCTGTAGACGGAACGTGGCACATAACAGCCACGACAGGAATGCATCAGGCTCAGAACAGGCAGAAACACGTAGCATTTGTCATCTTCGTGTGAACTGTTACCACGTCTGTACAGCGTCACATTCTTCCCTCACTCGGGCCCGGGGTGATCCATCTACTTGCTAGGTTGTTGGTTCTCCAGGTAGCGATGCCCACTGCCCATCAGCCAACGAAATCGGAAATCAACAGCCCACCGTTCACTGCGCCTCCGTGGCCTTGTACAAGGTAGTTTCACTTGAACGTGACCAACAACATGACCTCGCTGACATGTATCCCCCAAAATGCATGCCAGGTCACGGCGGTAGCACTGTTACAATACGTGGACAAAAGTCTCCGCCCGATCCCCAATTTTACCCCTTCCATCTACTATACCCTCCAATTCAATTGAACCATAACGCATCCAATTCTGGTGATAGAATTCTCAAATAAATTTTATTTAATAACTAAGTCAATAGTGTGTATACCAACCACCGGCGCGCCTCACTGCAGCTATTCGGTCCTCCATTGACTCCATCAAGGCCCGAACCTGCTCCGGATCGATCTCTGACCACGCCTGTTCAATTAACTCGTGTGCGTAGCGATAATGGGGGATATTATCCTTTAATTCAGAAAATTCAGGCTTGATTTCATGTATGTTCTTCTTCAGAAGTCGCCAAACGTGCTCGATTTGGTTCATATCGGGGCTGTGAGGAGGCCAGTCGATACAATAGATGCCGTGCTCCTCTATCCACTCCGGAACACCGCCAGTGAGGTGAATTTTCGCGTTATCTTGAACAAAAGGATCTCTAGCCTCGTAGAACGGAAACAGGCCTTCCTCAAGAACCCATTTGTATGACTCTGCGGATACTCCTCTGCGCGGAGCATCCGGATCGGGTGGGCAGAAGACCAACTTGCCTAGTCCTCCTTTTCTGCCGCGTAGCCAGATCATAGACCACACCATTATCGAAATATAAGATTTGCCGTGATCCGTCTCGTTCACGAGATCATAACAGTACCGCTCTAAAGAGAATTAGATGGCCCAATCGCCTGGATTATCGGATGAGTTTTGGACCGTATATTCGTCTGAGAATATAGCTCGTAACAACTCCTCCAGGCGCTCTGGTGTGCTATAATAATTAGCAAAAGTGAGCCTCTTCTGAACGTCCTTATCTGTGAGCTTAATTCGTTTTGCTGCGCGCCACTTCTGGAGGCCGTGTGCGTGACATATCCTCTTAATAGTCTTGAGAGAGCACGAAACGCAGGCTTCGTTTCGAATCTTTTGCCACGTCGCTCTGGGAGCTCTCTCGCCTTTTCGATCACATGAGCGCGTTCGCGAGTATTCAAAACGGGTGGGCAACCGCTCCTTGGTGCAGATTTCGGTGTAGAAGTGGCCTCAAAGTTGGTGGTAATATCGGAGATGGTTTTCAGGCGCTTCGTTTTAAACGCAATTGTAACATCTCTACGCGTTCTGCCGTCGATTCGCGCCGCCACAATTGCCGAGCGAGCTTCTGAAGTGAATTTGCCGTTAGCGACGCGATTACCGCTTAATTCGTCCCTAAAAGATCGTAAATCCATTATCAATTGCGGTGTTGAGAGAGTGGTGAAGTCGAAGGGTGATTGACGCGTTGTTTTGATCTGAAGGAGATTGTGGTGGGTCGGGCGGAGACTTTTGTCCACCCAGTTTACCATGCCCCACCCACCACTCGGCCACCCCCACTACTCGGACTGCAAAATCTACTGCCACACACCAAAACATCAACAACTTCACTTACAGCGAAATCAGTCAATTCATGGTATCTTCGGCTGCGAAAACGTGCAATCTACTCGTCTATGGCGGTTTAGTTATCGTATCTAGCCGGCCGGCGACTCTGTCAGCCTGAATGGGTCTCTCTAGCGGCCACAATCTCCTCCTCTTCTTCCAAATCAGAGCTTTCATCCTCTTTCTCCTCATTAGTGGTATCTTCAACAACCACAGGCTGCGCGGCCCTGCGGCCTCTCTGAGGCTGTTCCTCACTAGCTGCCAGAATATCCAGGATATTTTTGAAGCGTTTATTCAGGTTGGGGATCTTTCTGCGCTTTTTAGGGCGCATGCGGTCTAGTTCGGCCTCCAGGCTCTCGATCTTCTGGTCCTTTAGCACCATCTTTCCTGATTGCTTCTCAAAGGCTTTTGTAACCTTGCGTAACTTCAGCCGAGTGGTTGGGGACTTGTTTTTGCCCATATCCATGATTTGACGGCTATTTTCAGGCGTCTGAAAATCTTCAGGTTCTGAACTTTCGACATGTTCAGGCTCAGGGGTTGCGGCCTTATCCTGTTGGATTTCTTGATGCGATAAAGCCTTTCTGCGGTTAATAGGCCAATTGCCAGTAGTTCTAAAGACAGCCTGACAATTTTTGACTGTCAAGCCATTGTTCCTTGCCTTGGAGTAGCATCTAATGAAGTTGATCTTGTCCACAAGGGCAGCATCAGTTAGAGTAGCTAACTGAGCGATATGCTTGCGGTAAACAGCTTTCATGGCGTTAAAGGGGCCGTTATCAAGTGGTTAAAGCCCGTGGGAGGTATGTGCTGGAAGAAAACAAAGCTGAACGTTATTCAAGAAACACGTAATTATGAATTCATCTTACCGCTAAATGGTTAGCTATACATCTATGGATTTCAAGCAAAATAAAATAGAGGAAAATAAAGGAGTTAATACGTACGGAGGTATGGCTCTTATTCCCATTAAGGATCAAGAGTACCGTTTCAGAATTGTCATCTTCTCGTACCTGGTTGGCTTGAGGGAGGAAAACCTTTTCCAACCACTCAACAGCAACTGCGTTATCCGTCCAGCTATTATCAGTGCATATATAATGCCAGGGGGCAATCTCTCTGAACTCCTGAAAGAACCACTAGGCCTGGAGATCTTTTCCTTTAAATATAATGCCTGGCGTAAGGGCCTTGCCCGTAGCGGAGATGGCCTCAATGAAGGAGGTCCAGCCGCGGCCTTGGTCGCTCTTTAAGAAGGTCTTTTTCATCTCCGTGCTGCCCAAAACGAGACCGTCAAGCCCTAAATAGGTTAATTAATGGATAAAGTTAACAAGGGATTATTCAGGGATTATTCAGGGGCTTTCCCATACCGAAACCCGTCATGATACCGCCTTCATCTACGTTGTACGTGTTCTGAGGCTTTACCCAATCGAAATCCTTGCAATGATTGAAGTACCAGTTAACAGACTTCGTCGTAAAGCCCTTAAATCGAGCGGCTTCTTGTCTGCGGCCAATTTTTGTCTTTATTTGGGGGTTACGGTGAAGAAATCCATCCATCCAGTTCTTTCCAACTGTCTCAGTGATGCCGTTTAACTTGGAGGTAGCCTGAACGATTGCCTTGACAGCGCTATGCGATAGGGCGAGCCTCAGAGACTCCTGACGAAGTATCCACTGGGCTAGGCGTGTTTCATGCTCGTCGGATAGTCTTCTTTTTGGCTGCTGTGTCTCTCCCTTCGAAGGTTTGCCGTTGAGGCGGTCAGACAGCGTCTGCTTAGGGATACCCCATTTCTGAGCGGATTTTCGGACCGACAGCTTGTTATCGGTGACATCTAGTATGGCATCTGCCATAGTATCCTCCGTATAAAAAGGCATTTTGAGAGTCATGATGCTACGTTGCATATAAAAAAAGAAGAGAACGGGTACATAGAGGGCAAATTTGCCCTTATGAGGGGGAGAAACCACGGGCGGGGGGACCCCTCATCGCTGGGTCTGGCTAAAAAGATCTACATTGGGGTAAACCTCAAGAAAAGAGCTATTCAGCGAACTAATTACATCGCGAATCCCTTCAAAAACAGCTGGATTTGGTATAAGTGAAGTTGATGTTTTAGTGTGTGGCAGTAGATTTTGCAGTCCGAGTGGTGGGGGTGGCCGAGTGGTGGGTGGGGCATGGTACCTCGGAATTGGAGGTGTACCGCGATGCCAAGGTCCTCATCCAATAAGCTTAAGGCTTAGTCACAGTTGGTTACTCAAAATCGGGGCTACGCCGCGGCCCTACGCAAGCTGCAAGGCGACGCACCCAGGGGATGGAAGTGAAGTTCCTAACCAGAGACGGGTTACGGGACCTAGGGATGCCCTATGACATATGTCACCAGGGGCACCCACTGTAAGTGGGTGCCCTGGCCAATCAGAGTGCGGCTAGATAGATAAGATAAGGGAGCGGCCACCATATAATGGGTGCAGTCCTCCCACTTAACTAGATAGCCAACCCACGCATAACAACATATTTGACCCCCATACTTGCTCGCTTCACCCTATCTGGCTGGCCTTATGGGGCTCCCGAAAGAGCCTCCTTAAGGCCAGCTAGCTAGGAGGGAGCTAGCTAGCCTAGCCATACAGGGCCTACCACCGGAGCGGGATTAAAAGCCTCCGTATTGATTAAATCGTAAGGCTTAACGTAAAAAAAAAGAATAAATACCGTTTTATTTTTTTAACTTCGTTTTAAAACTAAGAATTACGCTTAACGGTGGTTAAAAGTTCATAGCGGATTATATAAAACGTGCTAAGTACGTTAATAGTACATTGTTAGCATATAATTAGCATATATTAATCGTATTTAAAATAAACGTATAATAAGTTTTAATAATAGTTGCTTAATGTAAGCGCTAATAAATAAGTAAAATTATAATAAATCATTAAGTTAGATAATATATATTGAATATATATTAAATAATAATAAAATTTCTAATACTCTTATCATAAGGTTATATAAGAAACTCTTATGATATACTACTTGATAAATATATATGAAAA